CCTCCAGCAGCACCACCACCAGCCCCAGCAGCTCCAGTACTCCCAGTACGAGCACCTCCGGGACCAGCGACACCAGCAGAAGAACCTCCAGCAGGAGAGCCCTGAGGTGCAGAAGTGGGACGCTGACGGCGACCGTACCAGTCGTGCAGCTGCTGGGAGGTGAGGGGCACACGCGGATGAAGACGGCTACTCCAAGGAGACCGCGTAACAGCAGTCTCAGAACCCTCAGGCGACTCACCCCCAGGCTCCGCACACACAGGCTCAGCACCCCCAGACGCAGCACCTCCAGACGCAGTACCTCCAGACGCAGCACCCCGAGACGCAGCACCTCCAGGCTCCACACGCTCAGCGCCCCCAGACTCAGCATTCCCACGCTCCGCACCCCCAGGGACAGCACCACTCGCAGCAGGACCGGAGTCACCAGTGACCTCAACAGGCGCAGGCGCAAGGGGGTCTACCTGAGAGACACCTGAAGGAGCAGGACCTGGCGCGGGGAGGGGGTCTACCTGGGGAGGACCTGGGGCGAGAAAGAGCGGCGGGGGGGGGCGAGGAGCAGTGCGGTAGGGGAAGAGGCGGTAAAAGGGGACGGACTCGTCAAAGGTGACGTCCTGAGACGCAAAGACACGGCGCGAGGCGGGGTCGTAAAACTGCCAGCCAGGCGCGTCAGGGACAAAGCCGAGGAAGACGCAAGGAATGGCGCGAGGGGAGAGCTTGTCCGCGGTGGTATCGCGGACAAAGGCACGAGCACCCCAGACCCGGAAACGCGACGCGTCGCCAACCTTCCCCGTCCACAGCAGTGTAAGCGAGGTCTCCGGCAAGGAGACACGGGGCCAAAGGTTGAGCCGATGCGCGGCGTACCGGACCGCAAACGGCCACAGAAAATGGGGGGCAGCCGCATGGATCATGGAGGTACGAGCGACCTCCATGACTAAGCCAATGCGGCGCTCAGCAACCCCATTCTGCTGCAGAGAGGCCGGAAGCGTGAAATTCTGGCGGATGTCGTGCTCCGCACAGAAGGCTGCCAAGAGGTCTGAGGAGAACTCACCACCTCTGTCAGAGTGCAGACGCAGGACAGGAAAGTCCGACTGGAACCGCTCGCGGAGCTGGAGACGAGTAGCGCGGATCCAGGGGATCAAAACATCAGGGACATCCCCCTTGCGCTGCAAGGGGAAGACCGTGGTGTAGCGCGTGTAGTCGTCGACAACCAGCAGGAAGTACCGCTCGTGGCCATGTCCACGGACGCGGGCTGGGCCCCACACGTCCAGGTGGAGAGTCTACAGTGGAGCCTCTGTGGGAGGGAACGAGGAGGAGTGAGGAGCGGCGCGCTGCCGCCCCTCGACGCAAGGAATGCAGGGCGGCGCAGGCGAGGGAGGGAGGGGAGGCAGAGACCTGGGAAGACCAGAAACCAGGAAGCGGGAGTGCGTGCTGCGTAGGCGAGGCAGGGAGGGGTGACCAAGGCGGTGGTGCCACAGGAGAGTGTCGTGCGACAGCCGGCGACACTCACACTGTGTAGCTACCTGAGCAGACGCGTGCAACTGGGGAGACAAAGGGGTGGAGCGTGACGCAGTGGTGAGGGTGTAGAGACTGGACCCTGGCGCACGAGCGAACGTGGCCAGGTGGCGACCAGTCTGGGAGCACGTGCAAATCGCCACACGCTGCCGGCCAGGGGTGAAGGTGTCAACCCCCGCATCCTGGAGGACAGCGTTACTCACCAAGTTCGTAGAGAACGAGGGGAGGTGGAGACCAGACAGCTCACCAGACGGGACCGCCGGACACGGAAGCACAGTGGAAGACCATGCAAGCACTGGGCCCCCAGAGGGGTCAGCCAGTGAGACAGGAACAGGTGCAGGGAGGGGAGTGACTGTGGTACTGTCGCGAAAGATACAGCGGGAAGCACCAGAGTCAAGTGTAAATGTGTGCAAAGCCTATGCAGGCGCAGTACCAAGGGGAGCAGACTCACAAGCACCTAGTGCTGCAGGGGCTATACCAGGGGCTATACCAGGATCCGGCGGCACACACAAGTAGCAGTCACCCTCAGCACTAACAGACAAGGCATACATAGCAGCAAGAATTGCCTCATAGTCAAGATCAAAGATAGGTACGTCACGCCTAAGCAAGTCTGCCCAGTTGGGGAACTCAGGAGCATCAGGAAACTTGGCGCGCCAGGCGTCGCTAAGCCGAGCGAAGCAGCGCTGCTCAGTGTGAAAACCTGTGCACTGGCGACCAGCTCGGGGACCTGTGCGGATGATATAGGGGCAGCGACCAGGACCCCCAGAAGCCCCACGCCCGGCATACCAGTCAAGAAGTTGCTGGGAAGTGGGGGTCTGGCGCTGACGCTGATGCTGCTGCTGCTGCTGCTGCTGCTGCTGCTGCTGCTGCTGCTGCGGCTGCTGCTGGCCCTGACCACCAATGCCACTACCGCTCCCTCCTCCCCCACCGCCGCTGCTGCCCCCTCCACCGCTCCCAGTGCCTCCGCCGCCCCCACCACCACCTCCACCGCCTCCACTCCCACGACCACCCCCACCACCTCCACCTCCCCCGCCGCCTGCACCACCGCCACCTCCACCGCCACCCCCACCGCCCCTGCCACCCCTGCCGCCCCTGCCGCTACGACGCTTCCCACTAGGAGCGGAAGCAGCTCTGACCCCCTCAGCACCAAGGTAGTCGTGAGCAGCAGCTGCAGAGGCGTAGGAGGGGGTGAGAGGGGAGGGGGAGCACCCCTCAAAGAGGGGAGAGCGAGGAGTGCCACGAGCAGCACCTACAGCGAGGATGTTCTTCTCCGCTGCTAGGAGGTGCTTCTCGAAGTCGTCGACAGTGAGAGTGGTGGGGTCTAGCGCTAGGAAGTGGTCCCTGACAGAGCTAAGAGTGTCAGGGAGGCGGGTGACGAGGAAATAGAGAGTGAAGTACATCGGGGGGGGGGGGGGGGGTTGCGGCACAGAACTCGGCTGAAAGGGCGGCACGAAAGCGAGAGTCAGTAGCGCGTAGGTGAGAAACTAGGTCCTCAGCAGTGGTGAACGAGGAAAGATCGGGGAACAGGTACGGTAGCATGAGTCGACCTATGGCTGCAGTGGCCGGGGAGGAGTAGCGCGCAACTACAGCGTCGTACAGTGTCTTAGCAGTTCTGTGCTGGCTGAAATGCGCTCGCTCAGTAATCGGCAGGTGGTTCCTAATAGCTAGGCGTGCAGCAGCATCACGAGTCTGCCACTGGGAGCGTTCTAGAGCAGGAGCATCAGCAGCAGGAGTAACGGCAGTGCCAGAGACATAATCGAACAGTGAGACACCCTCTTTGGCATCAGTCAGAAGGAACAGCTGGAGATCGTCTAACCACACAGTGAACTCGATGGGACGACCGTCAGGCTCGAACGCTAGAACGTTAGGCGTCGCCATATTGGCTTAAGGCAGGAGGCAGTAGGCAGCAGGCAGCAGGCAGAGGCAGCAAGCAGGCAGGCGGCAGTAGGCAGCAAGCAGCAGGCAGGCAGCAGGCAGGCAGCAGGCAGGCTGCAGGCAGGCGGCAGCAGGCAGCAAGCAGGCAGGCAGGCAGGCGGCAGCAGGCAGCAAGTAGCAGGCAGGCAGCAGGCAGGCAGTAGGCAGGCTGCAGGCAGGCGGCAGCAGGCAGTAAGCAGGCAGGCAGGCAGGTGGCAGCAGGCAGCCAGCAGGCAGCAAGCAGGCAGGTAGGCAGGCGCCAGGCAGGCGGCAGCAGGCAGCAAGCAGGCAGGCAGGCAGGCGGCAGCAGGCAGCAAGTAGCAGGCAGGTTGCAGGCAGGCAGTAGGCAGGCTGCAGGCAGGCGGCAGCAGGCAGCAAGCAGGCAGGCAGGCAGGTGGCAGCAGGCAGCCAGCAGGCAGCAAGCAGGCAGGTAGGCAGGCGACAGGCAGGCGGCAGCAGGCAGCTAGTAGGCAGGCGGCAGTAGGCAGCAAGCAGCAGACAGCAAGTAGCAGGCAGGCAGCAGGCAGGCAGTAGGCAGGTAGGCAGCAGGCAGGAGCGGCCTGAGGGCTGCGTGAGGCTGCTGGCTGCGTGTGGCGGCTTGCTGCACGAGGCTGCAGGTTGCACGTGGCTACGGGCAGCGCGCGCAGCTGCGGGCTGCTCGTGGCGACGCGCGGGCTGGCGGCAGGCTGCGTGGGCGGCTGGCGCGGCGTGTGGGGCCTAAAACGGGCTACACGGGCGGCGGACGCGGTGCGCAGGGCCTAAGCGGGTTGCGTACGGGCGGTTACACGGCGCGCGGGCCGGCGGCAGGCTGCGCGGGTGGCTGACGTGGCGCGCGGGGCCGAAAACGGGCTGCGCGCGGGCTGCTTAAGTGGCGCGCACGGGAAAAAAAAAAAGGGCCGCGCGCGTGCAGCCGAGGCGCGCGCGGGCAGCAGGCAAGGCAGGCAGGCAGGTAAGGCCGTAGGTGAGGTAATGCAGTAATCGGTGGGCCCTAATCTTAGGTCCTAAAGACCTATGCTCTAGATACCATCTTAGAAGCTAGGCATGAAAGTCGACTATCGAGATGGTGGTACAAAGAAAAAATGAACCTAAGGGGTTGTACCCCACAGTGTGTACCCCACTAAGCCTACCCAAAATATAACATAGATATACATATGTTTGACATGATATTGTGAGGCCATCTTGTGGCAGCTTAGTATGGGTGAGGGGGGGGTATTCTCAGAAGCGAAACAGCGGAATGTCGTGAACGAGGCAGAAGGGTGGTACAAATAGCTGACCCTAACCTAGGCTAACAAATGATACACCATAAACATGAAACATAAAACCCCATGAAATGCTGGTGCAGAGGTGCAAGCAGGCACTGCAGCAGAGCAGCAGAGTGTTGGTGTGAAGGCAGCGGGTGGAGCAGAACGGGGAGGGGCGAGCAGAACATAAAACCCCATGTTGACACACCCCGATAGGCTAGGTAAGGAGGGATGTGCCAGGCAAGCAAGAAGCAAAGACTCGCATCACAAGCAGACTCCCAGCCAAGCAACCTCGTCCCACCAACTCTTGATGATCAGGCTCCCTTACTCCCTCTCTCACCCATAGTTCTTTGATCTGTAAGCCGCCACGAGCCTATCAAGCTCATCCACCAACTCCTGGTGCTCCGACCCCTTCTTGCTCCTCACCTTGCCCCTCTCCTCCCCACCACCTCTGCCCAGCCCAGCCAGTGCCGCCTGTGCCCGCCTTGCCTCCATCACTGCAGCCGCTGCTTCTCCCCTCCGTGTGTCTGTCTTCGCCCTTTTAGAACCGGGAATGACTGCAGCAGAAGGAGAGACAGCAACAGCTTTCATTGCAACCGCTGCTTTTCCCCTCTGTGGGTCTGTCTTTGCCTTTTTAGCACCAGGACTCACGGCAGCAGCAGCAGCCTTCATAGCAGCCAAAGGAGAGGCAGCAACAGATTTCACTGCAGCAGCAGGAGACACACCAGCGCTCCCTGCTGAACCTTTCTGCTTCCTCTTTAACTCGCCCTTCCCACTGCCGCTCGCCCCTCCCCGTTCTACTCCACCCGTTGCCTTCACACCAACACTCTGCTGCTCTGCTGCAGTGCCTGCTTGCACCTCTGCACCAGCATGCCTCTTCACGTCCTTCCCAGGCCCCTTCCCGTGGCTCTCTTGCTGCGCCCCCTGCCGCTTTTCTTGCTGACCTTGCCCCTTCCCTCCCTTCACCTGCTTCTGCTTCTTCTTTGATGGAGAGCCCTGAGCATCACCAACAGCAAGTGCCTCGCCCTCCTCAGGCTTTCTCTTTGCACCCCTTGCTTTCCCCAAATCAGCGGCCCCAGCTTCTTGCTTCTGATGCTGCCTCTTCTCCTGCTTCTGCTGTTGCCGCGCTGCCTGTCGCCTGTCGCTCTGCTGCCTCACCGTGTGCTGCCTCTGCTTCACTATTGATACATTCTCGATCGCAAACTCCACTATGGGGCGTGCGTCACGGGAGAAGATGGCTGAAAGAATGTAAGGGTGGGGCATGGATGAAGGAGGGGAACGGAAGTGAGGGACGGAAACGGATGAAGGGGCGGGGGAATGGACGTGTCCTGCCTCTGCTTCACTATGGATAAATTCTCAATCGCAAATTCCACTATGGGGCGTGAGTCATGGGAGAAGATAGCTGCAAGGGAGTGGAGGGTCATGAACATGGGGGAGAAGGCATGGGGGATGAAAGGAAGTGCATAGAAGATGGGGATAGGAAGGCTGCATCAGTATGGAGATGTTTTCGATCGCAACTTCACTGTGTGATGATTGTGAGAGAAGATGGTTGGACACCGCTGGGGTGGTCGTTGAGCGCCCTCAGAGCCGCCACCGCGTGCTGGTGCTCACTCAATGAGCGCCGCTCCCTTGGACCGCGGCTTGCCGTCTCAAGAACAGCACACCACCGCACTGCACTCAAACCATCGCACTGCACTGCACAGCATCGCACTGCACCGCACTGCACTCACTGGGATGGTTGTTGAGAGCCCTGAGAGCCGCCACTGCATGCTGATGCTCACTGAACTCAATGAACGCCGCTCCCTTAGACCGCGGCTTGCCATCTGGCCCCACCCGGTCCGTTTCCCTCAGCACCTTCACCTGCAAAAATGAGAGGATGATGAAAGAGAGGGGTGCAAATCGGTGGGAAGGAGTGCAAAGAGAGATGAAACATCACTCCCTTGGACACCACGGCTTGCCGTCTGGCCCCCCCACCCGGTCCGTCTCCCTCAGCACCTTCACCTGTGGATAATGAAAGAGACGGCAATGAAAGAGAGGGGTGGAAGGCGGTTGGAAAGGGTGCAAGCCGAGGGCATGAAATTTATCAAATGCATCTTCCTTGGACCGTGGCTCGCTGTCTGGCCCCGCCCGGTCTGTCTCTCTCAACACCTTCACCTGCTGGAAGAGAGGACAGTAAAAGAGAGGGGTTGAATTCGGATGGAAGGAGTGGAAGAAGGAGATTTGAAGGTAGAACGCTGCTTCCTTGGACCGCGGCTTATTGTCTGGCCCCACCCTGTCTGTCTCCCTCAACACCTTCACCTGCAGAAATGAGAGGAAGATGAACGAGAGTGGTGGACGACGGTTAAAAGGAGTGCAATCAGGAGACGAGAAGGTGCTTCTCCTTTGGTGAAAGAGATGACGATGAAACAGGGTTGACCATGGAAACGAGGGGTGGAAGGTGGTTGAAAAAAGGGCTGGCTGGCCATCCATGATCAACTCATTTATCAACGATGCTGAATCCATGACAAGTTGGTTGAACTACATACATGTACTTAGCCCAACCATCTCACCTGCATGACGTGCGGCCTCTGCTCCATGGCCCATGCCCTCACAGCTACAGCCACCTGCTTCAGCTGCTTCTCGCCTATGCTTCACCCCAGTACCATGCACCTCTTGCCCTCACCCTCTACCTTCACCATTTACCCCCTGTCTCACCTGCTTCACATGCGGCTTCTGCTTCTTGGCCCGTGCCTTAACATCATCCGCGAACACCTGCTTCAGCTGCTTCTCGCCCATCTCCCGCCTGTTTCCTTCCCCCATGCACCCCACAGCCTAACAGATGCATCATGCGCCGCTCGCCCTCACCTGCTTCACATGAGGCTTCTGCTTCTTGGCTCGTGCCTTCACAGCATCCACAAACACCTGCTTCAGCTGCTTCTCATCGATTTCCCGCGGCACGTTGTGCACCGCCAGGCGCGTCAACGACACGGCGAAGTTGGGGCTTCTTAGCTTCATCAGTTTCTCACGCTGCAGCCTGAAATAGGAACAGACAGGATAGGAGCACAAAAGATAACAATAAAAATGACATTTGCGCCGTGTCGAAAGCCACATTAGCGATGCGACAAACTTGGGAGTGCTCAGCTTGAGTTAGAACGCAATACGATGAAATGAGAACGATGAGCGGGGCTGAAAAAGAAAAAAAAAAAAAAAAAAAAAAAAAAAATCTCCCTTTGCTGTCAACGCATTCATCCAACCCATCTATTTCCCCAACCCATCTATTTCCCCAACCCATCTATTTCCCCAACCCATCTATTTCCCCAACCCATCTATTTCCCCAACCCATCTATTTCCCCAACCCCTCTTTGCCCACAACTATTTCCCCAACCCACCTCTTTCCCCAACCCATCTATTTCCCCAACGCACCTCTTCCTCTTCTCCATGTCTGTTGCTGGCATTCCCTCTGCTGCTCGTGTTCCCTCCTTGATCACTCCCTCCTGTAATGCCATGCCATGCCACGCCATGCCATACCATCGATACAGTCCCATACCATGCGATGCCATGTTATGTGATAATTTTGTTATGACATGCAGCCCATCCCATGCGGTGCCATGCCATGCCATGCCATGCCATGCAGGTAAACCGAATGTCATGCAATGTCAAGTCAAGCAGCACATAGCCCCATGCGAGGGAGGAGCAAGAAGGTAGGAAATTAAGCCACAATGTAAGGAAGGGGAAAAACGAGGAAAGAAACATGCACGGAGGAGAGGACTTCTGACGGGTTGGTTTCCTCTTTAATCTAACTGATTGAAATCCAGCTTCTGAGTTCTGTACTTTACCTCTCAAAATTTACTACAGCCAAGCACCCTTAGAACCACTGCACTCTCCTACACACCTCCAGCAGTTGAAGATTCCTTCTGTCCTCCTCTCTTCCCTTGCCTGTCTGCTCCGCTTGTTTCCTCTTCTCAACCACCTTTGAAACCTCCTCCCGTCGCACTGCCAAAGTCACAAGGGTCTGTTGGCCCCCCACCACCACCATCCCCTCCTCCACTCCCCCCTTCCGACCCTCTCCGCCAGCCTCGGCCCTGGTCTTTGCGGTTCGGACCGAGCCTGCCACAGCGGCTTGCGCAGCTTCGGGCGTTTCGAACCGGACGAATGCCGAGCCTCGGGGGCGCCTGAGGGGATTCAGCAGGTGATGGGGTGGTTGCATTGGGATGGAGGAGAGTGAGATGAATGCACCTATGCTGTTTCTGAGAATTCTCACCTGGTAACCGGGAAACATTGAGTAGCTTGCAACACACCTCGAACAATCACAGCCGTTCACCTCGAACAGTCACAGCCGCTCACCTGGTAACAGGGTGCAGCCCCACACGGCAGTCAGCCACCTTCCGAAACAAGTGCGTCCAGCAGTCACATCACAGTCACACAGATATGCAACAAAGATGAAAAGAAGGTGCAGCACATGGCATGTCTTAGTACAAATAACTCACCTGATACCCGGGTTAACCCACCTGGTAACAGGGTGCAGCACGACTCTGCAGTCAGCCACCTTGCCGAACCGTTCAAAAGCCGCTCGAATGCGGTCAGCTGAGGCATCCACCGGCAGGTTCCTCACAAACACTGTCGCTGGCGGCGCCTCTGCCTTCTCCTCCTTGCCATCTTTCCCTTCCGTCACCTCCCCTTCCTCCGCACCCGTCCCTTCCTCCTTGCCATCACGAGAGCCTGTCTTCTTCCCTGCTGCTGCTCCCTTACCCTCCTCGGCACCCTTCTTTCCCTCCCAATCCTTTCCTGCCTTTCCCTCCTTTCCTGCCTTTCCCTCCTTCCCGCCCTTCACATCCTTCCCCTTCTTACCTGCATCACCTTCCTTCCCACCTTTCACAACCACACCTTTTGCTCTCACCCCTACTTCCTCCCCTGCGCCCTCCTTCCCCTCCTCCCCCTTCCCCTGCTCAACCACTCGGGACAGCACCCGTAGCATCATATCCTTCTCACTCCCTTGCACGGCACCACTGCTGCCACCACCACCCATCTCCATCTCCCAATCTACCTCCTCCTCCTCATCATCTGTTTCATCCTCCTCGTCCTCCTCCTCCTCTGCCTCTCCCTCTTCACTCCCATCCTCATCCTCTTCCTCCTCACTTCCCTCTTCCTCCTCTTCCTCCTCTTCATCTTCCTCTTCCTCTTCCTCCTCCTCGTCATCCTCCTCTGCTTCCATATTCAATAGACCATTCACCCTTGCTTCCCTCTCGTCCTCCTCCTCCTCTTCCTCTTCTTCCATTTCCTCCTCATCCTCTTCCTCCTCTTCCTCGTCCTCCTCCTCCCCCTCTTCCTCATCTTCTCCCTCCTCCTCATCTTCCTTATCCTCCCCTCCCTCATTCATCTCCTCGTCTTCATCATCAAACAGCATCGACAACCCATCTGATTAGAGAAACGAGAGAGGGAAGAGGTGAACATAATTATGAATAAGAACAGGAAAAGAAAGAGTTCAAATTATCCTCATCCTCCTCCCCTCCCTCGTTCATCTCCTCGTCTTCATCATCAAACAGCATCGACAACCCATCTGATTAGAGAAACGAGAGGGAAGAGGTGAACATAATTATGAATAAGAACAGGAAAAGAAAGAGTTCAAATCATCCTCATCTACCTTATCCTCCCCTTCCTCATTCATCTCATCATCCTCATCATCGAACAGCATCGACAACCCATCTGATTGGAGAAACGAGAGAGGGAAAAGGTGAACATGAGTATGAACAAGCAAAAACAAATAGTATCCAAATTATCCTCATCCTCCTCCCCTTCCTCATTCATCTCCTCGTCTTCATCATCGAAAAGCATCGACAACCCATCTGATGGACGTAATGAAAGGGAACAACGGGGAAGGGGGGAGTTTTTGGGCAGCTCGACTCGAGAGAAAAATCCCTCGTTCATCATCGAACAGCATCGACAACCCATCTGATTGGAGAAAGAAGTGAGAGAGGGTACAGGTGAACATCAACATGCAGAAGCACAGAGAAACAGTGTTAAGGATTATCCTCATCTCGTCATATGCATCATTGAACAGCATCGATAACCCATCCGCTTCAAAAACACGCAGGGGGAAACGGAAAAGCAGCAGGTGTGAGCGACACAGAGACCTCTCCATATGCTCTCTGTTTGCCACCACCCACCCACCGGTACACACTATTCAGTTCTATATGCACAAACAAACCAATCTCTATTCTCCTTGGCACTCTATTCCCCACACGAACACGCACGCATGCACGATTGCACACACGCACACACACACACACGCACACACACACACACACACTCACTCACTCACAACACACACACATATACCCCTATTCTCTATCGCTTTCTCCCTTCACACACTCTCCACATGCTTCCTCTCTGCCACCAGCCATCCAAGTTACACACTCACATAAGCATACATGCACTCACATAAGCATACATGCACTCACATAAGCATACACGCACTCACATACACAAATCTCACCTCTACTCTCCTTCCCTCTCTCCTTCTCCACACTCTCCATGTGCTCCCTCTTTTGACAATCACGCACACACATACAGACACTCTACTCTATTAACCACACACATTCCCGTCCCACACCTCTGTTCTCCTTGGCTTTCTCCTTCTCCACACTCTCCATGTGCTCCCTCTTTGCCACTGCCCATCCCACCGAAACGGCTCGCCCGTGGATGGTCGTGCCATTGACCTTTTCAATAGCCTGCCAGAAGAAAGGAGGATGGCAGGGAGAGGAGGGGGCGGAGGAGGGAGAAAATGTGTGGAGGCGGTCGGTTTGACTATCTCGTGCACTGTTGACTGACCGGAAATCCCGTCTTCTGTTTGACTGAAGAATGGAGGATGGGACGGGGAGGGGGGGGTGGGAGGAGGGAGGAAGTGTGTTCCACTGTCTCAGGCCATGGAAGGGAGGGAACGCACTAAATATGTGTGGCCCATGAATCTTTACCTGTGTTGTCAATGCGTCCTGTAAGATGCAATCCGTCCTGTGGGTCAGGGTGTTATGGTGGCAGGTTGACGTGTGACTGTGAGCTTGTGTTTCAATAGCATGGACAGGCTTTTACCTTTGCTGCATCGCTCTTTGTGGTGAATGTGACAAAAGCGAATCCACGAGGCCTGCCATGCGCACAGTGAGGAGGAGGGCAACGAAGCAGAGAGACTGAGGGAGTGAGATCAACCAAAACGAGATCAGGAGATAGCACAGGAGTATTGCACCTTTTGAGGCGCCTCAACAGGAGATAGCACAGGAGAATTGCACCAAAGGGGTGTATTTTGAGGCGCCTCAAAATACACCTTTTGAGGCGCCTCAAGATAGCACAGGAGTATTGCACCAAAGGGGTCAAAAGCACATAATTGGTGCAAACGATTTTTTTCCAGGTGGTATTTCCCGTCCTTCACATCTTGAACTTGTAAGCCATGCTGCAAGTGCAATATGTGCCCCACCCGCACACCTGCCAACTGTTGCACCAACCTCATATCCCTTGCGCTAACCTCCCATCCCCTCACCTCCCATCCTCTCACCTCCCATGCGCTCACCTCACATGATGTCATCTAACCTTGCCGTATTGCACCAAATCCCATCTGCCATCCACCCACCTGCCATCCACCCACCTGCCATCCACCCACCTGCCATCCCCTCACCTGCCATCCTCCCCATGTGGTATCTTGACGGCCCATGGGAAGCCCGCAACAGCGAAGGCCTTTCTCAAATCCGCTTCTGCCACCTGGCATTGTGTCATTTGCTCACCACACACACACACAGCAAACACCCGTTCACAAAGGAAAGATGCATATCCGGATTACAGGTGAGTGAGTGAACTATCACAAAAGCAAACAATCGAGTATTGTATTGTGCCATCTCGTGTACTGACATGGCAACTGTAAGGTGATTGGTTGTACATGCCATTGACAAACGAGTATGATGATGCCTTGCAACAAGACAAGGACCTCATATTGAAACAATCTAGTTGTTTCCCTTTTTATCCCCCCAAAAACAAGCTAGAAGAAAAGAGTACCATGCTGTGCGCAACGCACCTTGAAGGGCAGGTTGCGAACTATTACTCGATTGCTGAGAGTCTTTGAACCCTGTGATTAAACAGATGGGATGGGATGGGATTACACATCCATAATCATGCAGATGGGATGGTGATCACACATGCATGCATGCATGCATGCATTCATACACATCCAAGGTCGGAGAGAGCAATGAGGTTGACAAGAAAGGCAGAGAGGAAGCACTGGAGACACAAGGTAAAGCAGCACAACACACTCCTCTCAACACCGAGTGTGTGACATTATAGCGAGTTGACATTTGAGACGACTCAAAAGGAAGTGCTGGAGACACAAGGTAAAGCACTACGGCACACTCCTATCAACGCACCACCAGGGACCCTCAGCACCACACAGCAACCCACGTCTTTGCCTGTTTGTGAGTCACCAAGAACGCGCCTCCCCTCGCAGCTGTCTCGGCCACACAGTGACGCTCTGTTCCGTGGCCCCACGCAGTGACTCCTACACACACCAACACACACCCACACACACCCACACACACCCACACACACCCACACATACCCACACATACCCACACATACCCACACATACCCACACATACCCACACATACCCACACATACCCACACCCAAACATAACCACAAACCTCACCTCTTACCTTGTTCCACAAACCTCACCTCTTACCTTGTTCCACAAACCTCACCTCTTACCTTGTTCCACAAACCTCACCTCTTACCTTGTTCCACAAACCTCACCTCTTACCTTGTTCCACAAACCTCACCTCTTACCTTGTTCCACAAACCTCACCTCTTACCTTGTTCCACAAACCTCACCTCTTACCTTGTTCCACAAACCTCACCTCTTACCTTGTTCCACAAACCTCACCTCTTACCTTGTTCCACAAACCTCACCTCTTACCTTGTTCCACAAACCTCACCTCTTACCTTGTTCCACAAACCTCACCTCTTACCTTGTTCCACAATCACCCACCTCGCCTCCCAGCTGCCTCGCCCACACAGTAACGCTCTTCTCCGAGCCACCAGCGTCTGCGCCACCAGCGTCTGCACCACCCTCCACCGTAGAGCCGTGCAGCGATGCCACAGCCTGGCGGGCGGCCCGCACCGATGGGAATACGATCGAGACGGCAGGGGGGGTACAGCCATCAAGGGCAAGGCCTGGAAAAAGTGGGGAGAAGGAAGGGAGAAGGAAGGGAGAAGAGGAGTGCTTGAGGCGTATTCATACCTACCCTCATACCACCACCGCCCAGCCTTGCAGTGATGCCACAGCCTGGCGGGCAGCCCGCACCGATGGGAAGACGACTGACAGGGCCGGGGGTGTGCAGCCACGGTGGAGGAAGAAGACGGAACTACATGGTGAAGCATGCAGAAGAAGGTGGGTGGGATGACTTGACTGCGGCACTACAAAAGCAGAAGACACGGAGAGGGAGACGACGAGAAAGAGCCTAGGTGACATTTGACTCCATCAAAAGCCACAATCATACAAATTATCCACACCTCTCTCCTTTAAAGCTCCAGTATACATTTGTCAGTGGGGTTTCGGGTTTGTATAGTGTGCCTCACAGTTCTGGGGCAACTTTTCAAATTTCTAAGGATTTTGAACCCCTCCTTTCAAATGTATACTAAAGCATTAAAGCATCCTCTGGCAGAGGGCTATTGACCTCCTCTGGAGCAGCGACGGCAGTGATGGCAGCAGCAGGCCGGCAGTGATGGCAGCAGCAGGCCGGCAGTGTAACAGCCGATGTGAGATCAAATTAAACCTCACCTCTCTCCTTTAGAGCATCTTCTGGCATAGGGTTAATGACCTCCTCTGGAGCAGCGACGGCCGCAGCAGCAGATAGGACATGCGCCACTGCTGCCGGGGATGAGAGCCCCCCAAACACCACCGTGCGGGCTGGCCTGGGAGATACAAGGGAGGAACGAACAAGGTGGGAAGGGGAAGAAAAGGGTTGGTGACCTCCTCTGGAGCAGTGATGGCAGCAGTGGCAGAGAGGACATGCGCCACTGCTGCTGGGGATGAGAGGCCCCCAAACATCACCGTGCGGGCTGGCCTGGAAAAGGGGGAAAATAGAGAGGCGTGAAAGGGGGCAAAAGGTTGGACTATCCAAGGGAAGGGGGAGTAGCGACGGCAGCAACAGCAGAGCGGACATGAGCCACTGCTGCCAGGGGGAGAAATGACAGTGCAGGCTGGCCTGGGAATGGGAGAGAGGGGGGTAGTGGTGGGTTCGTGTTGAGAAGACTGGCATAACAGCAGGCAGCAGCAGCAGCAAAAATCTGCAGTATGCAAGAGCAACTTGGAAGGAACAGACAGAACGTGCAAGAGTTCTCTTGATACGTGAATTACAAGAACGGCTGCAAGCTGCCTTACCTCTGCTTTAGTGAAGATCCGCCTCCCTCCTTCTTGCTGCCTCCTCCTGTTGTTGCTGCAGCAGCAGTCTGGGCAGTTGCAGTAGCCACAGAAGTAGTGGCAGCAGCAGCGGCAGGCTGAGCGTTCTTGCCCTTCTTCTCCTTCTTCTCCTTCTTGCTGCTACCCTCAGTCCCCTTGCCTGGTGTTGCTACAGCTGATGCTTTGTCACTGGCACCAGCGGGTGCGCTCACTGCAGCAGCAGCAGGAGCGGCAGCGACAGCACTCGTGGCAGGAGCAGCAGGAGCAGCGGGAGGAGGAGCAGCAGGCGCATCGGCGTCAGCAGCAGGGAAGGTGGTGATGCGAGTGGGTATTCTTCTCCCCATGGCATCTGTAGCACCGCTCCTGCTCCCTCCGCCATGTGGGTCGTTGTTCCTTCCCAATCCTTGCAGGCCACTCAGATCATCCTGGTCCTCCACGTGATGGGCTGCAGGAAAGGCCAAGGGAGCGGCACAAGCAAGAAAGGGATGAGGTGAGAGCAAGTCGGGCATGGTTCAGTTCAGACCATGCTGTTCCGCCTTTTGAGACGTCTCAAAAGGCATGGTTCAGTTCAGACCATGCTGTTCCGCCTTTTGAGACGTCTCAAAAGGCATGGTTCAGTTCAGACCATGCTGTTCCGCCTTTTGAGACGTCTCAAAAGGCATGGTTCAGTTCAGACCATGCTGTTCCGCCTTTTGAGACGTCTCAAAAGGCATGGTTCAGTTCAGACCATGCTGTTCCGCCTTTTGAGACGTCTCAAAAGGCATGGTTCAGTTCAGACCATGCTGTTCCGCCTTTTGAGACGTCTCAAAAGGCATGGTTCAGTTCAGACCATGCTGTTCCGCCTTTTGAGACGTCTCAAAAGGCATGGTTCAGTTCAGACCATGCTGTTCCGCCTTTTGAGACGTCTCAAAAGGCATGGTTCAGTTCAGACCATGCTGTTCCGCCTTTTGAGACGTCTCAAAAGGCATGGTTCAGTTCAGACCATGCTGTTCCGCCTTTTGAGACGTCTCAAAAGGCATGGTTCAGTTCAGACCATGCTGTTCCGCCTTTTGAGACGTCTCAAAAGGCATGGTTCAGTTCAGACCATGCTGTTCCGCCTTTTGAGACGTCTCAAAAGGCATGGTTCAGTTCAGACCATGCTGTTCCGCCTTTTGAGACGTCTCAAAAGGCATGGTTCAGTTCAGACCATGCTGTTCCGCCTTTTGAGACGTCTCAAAAGGCATGGTTCAGTTCAGACCATGCTGTTCCGCCTTTTGAGACGTCTCAAAAGGCATGGTTCAGTTCAGACCATGCTGTTCCGCCTTTTGAGACGTCTCAAAAGGCATGGTTCAGTTCAGACCATGCTGTTCCGCCTTTTGAGACGTCTCAAAAGGCATGGTTCAGTTCAGACCATGCTGTTCCGCCTTTTGAGACGTCTCAAAAGGCATGGTTCAGTTCAGACCATGCTGTTCCGCCTTTTGAGACGTCTCAAAAGGCATGGTTCAGTTCAGACCATGCTGTTCCGCCTTTTGAGACGTCTCAAAAGGCATGGTTCAGTTCAGACCATGCTGTTCCGCCTTTTGAGACGTCTCAAAAGGCATGGTTCAGTTCAGACCATGCTGTTCCGCCTTTTGAGACGTCTCAAAAGGCATGGTTCAGTTCAGACCATGCTGTTCCGCCTTTTGAGACGTCTCAAAAGGCATGGTTCAGTTCAGACCATGCTGTTCCGCCTTTTGAGACGTCTCAAAAGGCATGGTTCAGTTCAGACCATGCTGTTCCGCCTTTTGAGACGTCTCAAAAGGCATGGTTCAGTTCAGACCATGCTGTTCCGCCTTTTGAGACGTCTCAAAAGGCATGGTTCAGTTCAGACCATGCTGTTCCGCCTTTTGAGACGTCTCAAAAGGCATGGTTCAGTTCAGACCATGCTGTTCCGCCTTTTGAGACGTCTCAAAAGGCATGGTTCAGTTCAGACCATGCTGTTCCGCCTTTTGAGACGTCTCAAAAGGCATGGTTCAGTTCAGACCATGCTGTTCCGCCTTTTGAGACGTCTCAAAAGGCATGGTTCAGTTCAGACCATGCTGTTCCGCCTTTTGAGACGTCTCAAAAGGCATGGTTCAGTTCAGACCATGCTGTTCCGCCTTTTGAGACGTCTCAAAAGGCATGGTTCAGTTCAGACCATGCTGTTCCGCCTTTTGAGACGTCTCAAAAGGCATGGTTCAGTTCAGACCATGCTGTTCCGCCTTTTGAGACGTCTCAAAAGGCATGGTTCAGTTCAGACCATGCTGTTCCGCCTTTTGAGACGTCTCAAAAGGCATGGTTCAGTTCAGACCATGCTGTTCCGCCTTTTGAGACGTCTCAAAAGGCATGGTTCAGTTCAGACCATGCTGTTCCGCCTTTTGAGACGTCTCAAAAGGCATGGTTCAGTTCAGACCATGCTGTTCCGCCCCTCCCCAGCCCATGCAGGCCGTCAGATCATCCTGTTCCTCCACCTGATGGGCTGCAGTAACCAAGAGAGAAACCAGAGCAGGGGAAGGGAGGGAGATAGATGCAGCGGAAACAGCTGAGCCAGCAACAGCAACCATCATGCCGCTCCTTGTGAGGGATTCTTGAGAATTCTCCAGAACACAGCAAGCAACAACCATTGTGCTGCTCCTCAAAATCAAATCGCAGCCCTTTGCTCCTCAAAATCAAATCGCAGCCCGTCTCTCCGGCTGCTGCCTTCCTGCTCCTGCCGCCCTTCCCCTGCTAATTGCCTGCACTCTGCTCCTTGCGTGCTCCTGCCACCCACTCACTCACCTTGTGGTCACGGCCCTCGCTTAGCCAGCCGGTCACCCAAAGGTGCTCTCCTCTTCGCCAACTCCACCACCAGAGGCCGCCCTTCCAGCCGCCAGAGACAGGCCGCCCTTCCCCTGACAGGTGCCTGCTCCTTCTCCTCACTCACACTCTCTCCTTCCTGCCACCCACTCACCTTGCGGTCGCAGACCTCTCTTGGTCAGTCTGTCCCCCAGTGGCGCTCTCCCTTCGCCAGCTCCTCTGCCACGCGTTTGCCCTCCATGTGCACACTCAGATGCTATCCTATCCTATGTACGAGTCTAGCTGCAGACCAAGGCTTGCCACTCACTCACCTTGCGGGCGCGGCCCCCTCTTGGCCAGTCTGTCGCCCAGAGGTGCTCTCCTCTTTGCCAGCTCCCCTCGGCCGCTTTCCCCCCGAGCCAGAGTCAGGCAGTACTGCCCCCCATGCTAGATGATGAATGCCCTACCTGCCTCCTTTTCCCCACTCACCTTGCGGTCGCGGGCCTCGTTTAGCCAGCCTTTCGCCCAAAGAAGCTCTCTTCTTCGCCAGCTCTACAGCCAAAGGCCGCCCCTCCAGGCGCTTTCCCCCAAGCTCCCTCACTGCCCTCTCCGCGTCCTCTGCTAGCGCACTGATCGGGTTGGGAATCGGGAGGTGGGGAGGTTGGAGGCAGGAAAGGGCGAGGACTCAACGGGAGGGATGCAGAGAGCTGTTGCCTGGGAAGAGAATGTGAGGTGGGGTGTAAAGGAACATGCTCATTCAGTTTTGAGAATTCTCAAAAGGGCATGTTTAGGTTGGTTGGGGTGCAAGAAAGAAGAGTTGAAGAACCACGCAGAACAGAAACACTTGAGGTGGAACCAGAAGCTTTCAAGATGCATGAGCATGAAGAATCACCCATGGCGCAAGAAACAGACGCGAGCTGCACTCACTATTGCACGAAGCCCATCCCTCGATGCGTCTCCGCGCCTGGATGCATGAGAGGAGGAATGAAATGAAATCACCCCACATGAGTGGACGGACAGATGAGAGGGGCAGATGAGAGGGGCAGATGAGAGGGGCAGATGAGAGGGGCAGATGAGAGGGGCAGATGGGAGGGGCAGATGGGAGGGGCAGATGGGAGGGGCAAATAGCGATTGCCCCCATCAAGAAAGGAGGTACAAATAGCACTTATCCCCATAATAAAGGGGGTAGGAATATATCTTATCCCCATCAATAAAGGAGGTACGCTTAGCACTTATCCCCATCAATACAGGAGGTACAAAAGGCACTTATCCCCATCATTAAAGCAGGTAGTGACGCACCTCTCTGCGCCACAAGGAAGCACTTTCGGATAGGGCCCACCGTCGAGAAAAAACCCTCGAGCTGCGGGTAGGAGGGGAATGCGTGTGGAGGGGGGGGGTTGATGAGACGGAGGAGGAAGAAGGTTGGGATAAGGCATTCAGTGCTGCGGCTGTCTATGTTCAGATAGGGCCCACCGTACAGGAAAATAAATCGAGCTGCAAGGGAGGGGGAGGGGCGTGGGAGGGATGTGGGGCGGGAGTGGGAAGTGAGGTGAGGCGGTTACTTGGAGTGGAGGGGAGGAAAATGCATTCAGAACTGATCATGTGTGCCGCTAGGAAGCACTTTCAGATAACACACACTGTCAAGAGAAACCCGTCAAGCTAGAGGTTCTGGGGTTTAGCGGCTTAACCTTGCTCTTGCTGCTTACACATTCGATTAAGCTCTCAAAGGGTCAAGCGGCTCGTTCGGATACGACGGAAAGGCACTACCGCGTTATGCGCAGGAATAAACCCTTAAAAGCAACATCCCCTGGGCGAAACGCTAGGAGGAATTTGTAATTTGTCCGCACTAAGAGATCAATTCAGCACTGGGAAAGACACCCACATCGTTCTGTGAGGCTTTGAACGAGACGTTGCGCACGAAAACCGTGTTCCGATCCACGTCACTCCGCCCCGCTTCCCCCCCCGCTGCCTCCTTCCATCCCCCTTCCGTTCCCGGATCTGTCCGCGCGCCATCCGCCGCTTCCTCCTTCCGCCCATTGTCCGCCACCCACCCCTCCCCACTACCACCCCTTGCGCCAATTCCCTCCCCTTCGCGCCCCTCGTCCGCTGTTCCCCCACCGCCCCGCGCGTCTTGCGAACCGCCTGCTCCGCCTCTCCTCCGCCACTGTTTGCCCTTCCCTACGGGCCGGGTAGCAGCGGGACAAAAGGCCATAGTTGAGATTGCGGTTACTTGCTCGGGTAATTATTTCTCGAAAACGACTAATCCGACCGTCAGTTGTTGCAAGCCGAGTCACCTGAAGGTGGAAAGGGAAAACCCTAGGTCCAGAACCCTGAGTGATTTTGCGGGTGGGGAAGTAGGGTTGATTGAAAGTATTCGTGTTTAGGTGCTTCAGGTGCCATACGAGAGACTAGCGACATCCACAAAGCTACATTGTACGAAACGTGCTCAATATTGGTGACCTGGTATTGTGCACTCGTGTAAGTGACCTAATTCAAAAAAGACACCTCAAGTGGAATACATTGTCTTCTATGAACTAGGTGTAAGATATTGAGGCCTTTAGGCAGACTAAGAAAAATTAGGCTCTGGATTTTTGTTATATAAACAGTATGAACCTTACCGGTACATTCAACTTCCTCCCGGTTAATTAACCATCCGGTATGACTGTACAGGTCTCACTCCTACACCCAGGTTCTACCCAACCTGCCTTTCAGTGCTGCAAACCGCACTGCACATCATTCTCTCACTGCAAACAGCACTCATCACACCACTCTCGATGTACGGTACCAGTAATCACGGTTGACATGTCTCCCTCCCATGCACGCACGCCTGTACACCTCACCTCATCCCACCCCTCTCCTCTCCTCACACCCCGATGCACTGTCCAGGTGCACTGAATCCAGAATTCAACTCTCGAGCTTCTTTGTACAAACGAAGATTCACAGGGCACTGACGCCAGACTCCGATGCACCGTATCTAGACGCACAGCCCCACCGCATGCGCCACATATGCCTCCCCTGGCAACTACACCGCCGGCCCCACCACACCCGCGTGCTTCCCATGCACGCCCACCTCCCTCATCTCACGCCTGCCCCGACCCACCATCAGCACCATACACCACCCTGACACCGTACCTAGACGCACAGACCCACCGCATGCGCCACATATGCCTCCCCTGGGAGCTCTATTCCCAAGCCCACCACGCCAGCCTGCTTCCCATGCACACCCATCTCCCTCATCTCATGCCTGCCTCGGTCCACCAGCAGCACGAGTGCAAACAGCCTTCCCCCCGCCACCACCACCTGCTTCAACTGCGCCCCCCACAGAATCTCCCCTGCCCCTCCCCCTCCCGCTGCTCCCCCTGCCATCTACCACACGCATGCTCCGTCTCGCCACACATCCCCTCTCCCATGGTCTTCCTGATTTTCTAGCTGCTGGTGCTGCTGCTGCTGCTGCTGCTGCTGCTGGTGCCACTTGAAGCAGGCCGGGCAGGGGATTTTGCAGCGAGGGGCATGGGGCTCCCCTTGTAGCAGCAGAAGAGACAAGCTATGTTGTACCGCTGCCACTGTAGCGCCGCCTGCCCAGCCACATGCACAGTGATGTGCACAGGAAGAGGGCGGCACGGCAGCATGGGAACATGTATGGATGGAATCTGATGGTGGTACCAGAGCATGGGGAGAGCATGCGTGTGTGCAAGGCGATGATGGTATCAGAGCGAGCATGCCAGCAATAGCTAGACGGTGGATCGGGTCGCACGGGGGGGCGAGGCCCCACCTCCCACTGCTCACATCCAGCTGTAGCACACACCCCGCACTGCTGGCACCGGCTGTAGCAGCAGCTGTAGGGGCGGCTGAGGGGGACGTGGGGTGGTCGGAGAAGCAGGTGAGGCGGTGGCGGTATCGCGCGTATACGCGGTTACCAGCACGGATGACGTCACAGCAGCGAGGCGAGATGGAGGGGTGCAGTGCGGTTTTTACATTCACGTTGGTTATAGACACTGGTGTGCTTGAAGGCGAGAGTGAGGGTGAAGGGGGTAAGGATGTGGGGGAGGAGGAGGTTGGGGATTGAAGAGATGCGGGGGGGGAGGACAGCAAGTGGGGGGAAAAAGCAGAGGAGGAGGGGGAGGAGGAGGAGTAGGGGGCTGTGGAGAGGGGAGAGAGAGTGGCATCAGAGGAGCTGGCAATGGCATGGGCAGGAGAATCTCCAGGGTGTATGGGAAGGCCCGAAGGGGGTGTGAGAAGGCCCAGATTCAGAGAGGGGTTGATGGGCGTGGGTAGCTTAGGTTCTGTGGGTGGCGTGGGTAGCTTGGGTACCAGCGCAGGCAGCTCGATAATCGATGTTGTTTCGCTCACTGGAATATCCCCCAACCCCCCTTCCTTCCCCTCCCCTTCTCCGCTTGTTCCCCCCCTTTCACACCTCATCTCCCCCTCCACTTCTCCCCCTCCTTGCACTCCGCCCATCCCTGCGCCCCAGACATTCCCCCTCCCGCCCACCTTCCCCCTTCCCCCGATCTCCCCCCCTCCCCCCACGAGCAGCCTCCCTCCCGCCCACACCACCACCGGATCCAACCGCTCTGCCAACCCCTCATGCTGCACCTGCACCCACCGCCCCACCAGCCAATCAGACAGTGACACGTGGCGGACCGCCTCCCCCGTCCCCAGCACCACTCCCCCTGCAATCGCGAGCCCCCACCCAGGAATGGCTGCGACTGAGAAATGGCGGCAGCGCTGCGATCCGTGCGGATTGGACGGCGGGATGGGCGGCAGCCGGCGCCACCTTCCATAACCGTTGGATCCAGAGAGCCCGCCGCATCCTGACCGTCCACATGCTGACAGCCTAGATCTGCTGCTGCCGCCGCCACAGCTGCTACAGGAGCTTCCCGCGCCCCTCGCGCTCCGATGCGATTCGTTACAGGCGGTTCCGCTGAACGTCCATCGCGTTCCCTTGCTGCTGACGCAATCGGCGGCGGAGGCGGCGGAGGCGGGGGGAAGGTTGTCGGTGGTGCGCGCAGGCGCGGAGAGGTCGAAGGCGAACCAGTCTAGGCGGCCAGGATGCCGCCTGCTCGCCGCGCACAGACACACATATCCGTTTCCCCCGTTAATATCACACTCGCCTCTCCCCTCGATATAATCGCGGGCGTCCCTATGTGAGCAGCACGCAGGGGAAGACGCGCATTCCGCACAATCCGGGCGTTCCGCGGAATCCGCGCATTGTGCGCAGTCCTCCCCGCGCCGCGTCACCACCCTCCTCACCCTCTGCGCGCCGAGCGCCTGCTGCCGCCGCCGCTTCTGTGCGAACGCGTCGCTCGCGATCGCCGCCGCCCAGCCGCGGGAGACGCAGCGCGCGATCGCGAGGTCCCAGAGACTAAGGCGAGACAGGCACGCGACGCTGACGTCATCGGGCAGCGGAGGAATCAGCGCAGAAATCGGCGGAGAAATTGGCGGAACAATCAGCGGCGGGACCATCGCGGGATGGGGTGGATGCGAGGATGCAGTGGCAGGTATGGTGCTCAGGCGCAGCAGCGCAGCAGCGCAGCAGCGCGGCGGAGTTGACGCCAGCTCGCCGGACCCCAGATTCCGCCTGCCAGTATTCCGAAATTGATGGGAGATAACCAGTGAACAAAAACGTCCAGATCGGTTTGATCAGGTAGCGTTCGGTTTATGCTGGTGGCTGGCGTGGATTTCTAGTCGTTTGGGGTCGGTATTGAAGGGTAACAGCTGTGACCACTGCAGGGATGTGTTGTGCGGTGGTGGTGACGCTGTATGGGGCGGAATTCACGGTTTGGACAAATCTCCCAAGGAGTCAGGAACGGCTATTCAAGCAATTAGTGCGGTTAGGTACGGTTTGAGTGAGAAAACGGGTATTCCAGCATCATAAGTAACCATAAGCTACATTGTGCAAGGTACTAGTATAACAAGCAACCACTCTGCACAGCATGTCACAAATCGAAACAAACCATTTTTATATACCCCTGACTGAATTTCTCCATTTATTATAATCAAACCACATTTCCTTCACTCCCACGCCAAGGATGTCCGGTTCCTCCCATCCCCTCCTTTCCCACCCTTCACAACAAACGCCAGCTTCACGAAATCCCTCAACACAGTGTCATTGAGCTCGCAGAACCGACCCGCCCAATCAGGAGGCTCCACTGCATCTGTCCCCAGCCCGGGTATTGAATCATTGCTGTTTTGCTTCGCCCCCTTCCAGTCCTTCGTGTATGTCGCCACTCGCCGCCGATACTTAGCTTTAAACTCGTCCCACACCTGACAGGACAGCACAAGAGAAGCAAGGGGAGGGCATGGCTGGCGAGGTAAAATTTGAGTTTGACTTGAACGTCTCTGCACTGAGCTATTATGTCGTTGCTGTTGTGCTTCGCCCCCTTCCAGTCCTTGGTGTATGTCGCGACTCGCTGCCGATACTTGGCACAGACAGAGGACACGAGAGAAACAGGGGGGCAATGGGACTGCACGAGAGAAACAGGGGGGCAATGGGACTATCTGAGGTGGATTCTGATAACCAACACACATTTCACGCTTCCCACTGCACAACCCACCTGGAACTACTAGTGGTTGAGACTCACAAAGTCAAGGGCAGCCATCAACCAACCCGCCTACCTCCACCCACCCACCTGGAACTTGTAGTGGTTGATGTTGGCCAGTTGCACCCTCCCAGAGAACACCTGGCTACGATACCGCTCCTCCTTCAGCTCAAACAGGTGAATATGACACAGCAGCAAGTGCTAGCCCGAGACACACACTAATCGCCTAACACCCACCCACCTGGAACTTGTAGTGATTGATGTTCGCCAGTCGCACTCTCCCCAAAAACACCTGGCTGCGGAACCGCTCCTCCTTCAGCTCAAACTGATGTATGTGGCACAGTCACCCACCTGGAACTTGTAGTGGTTGATATTGGCCAGTCGCACCCTCCCCGAAAACACCTGGCTGCGGAACCTCTCCTCCTTGAGCTCAAACTGATGTATATGACACAGCAGCGAGTCCGCCACGGCCTCGGGCCGCACAAACGATTTGTGGCGGTCGGGCTTGCGCGCCCGGCAGGTATACCCCACGGACACGCCCTGCTGGGGGTGCTGGGTGAGGCCTGAGGGACCAAAGTCCACACAGGGGAAGGAGATCTGCCCGAGCGGCCTCACATCGTCCTCTGCTCTCTCCCTCTCATTCTCCATGCCGCCTCCTGCCGTGCTCTCCCTGCCGCTGCCGCTGCTGCTGCCGCTGCCGCTGCTGCTGCCGCTGCCGCTGCTGCTGCCGCTGCCGCTGCTGCTGCTGCTGTCGCTGTCGCTGTTGCTGCCTCCTTCCTGCCGTTCTCCCGTAGCGTCTGTGGTGCCAGACCCCTTCTTGCTCTTCTTCTGCTTCTTCTTTTTCTCCACCTTCTCTTTCCTCATCCCCTCCTCATCCTCCTCCTCCTTCTCTCCCTCTTCCTTCGCCTGCTTGTTCTTCGTGGCCTGCTTCCCGTCACGTTTTTCACCTTTGCTCTTCTTGCCCTTCTTGCCCTTCTCTCCCTTTTTGCTCTTCGCCGCTTTGCTGCTATTTTCCAGCTTCCCACCCTCACCCTCACCCTCACCCCCACCCTCAACCCCACCCTCACCCTCTCCACCAGCAAGCAGTCTCCGACCCACACCTCCCCCCACGCCTCCACTCTCCCTTGCACCTGCTACATCTGCTGCTCCTGCCACACCTCGCATGTCCTCCCCCACTATCTCCCTCACACCGACGCTCATTCGGCCCTCCTCCCCATCGCCCCCACCCCCCTTTTCCCCTCTGCCACCACCCACCATTCTCCGCCGCCTGCTCTCACCCTTCCCCCCTTCCCCTCCTCCTTTCCCCCTCTCCCCCTCCCCACTCACCTTCCTCGCCTCCACCTCCTCAATCTCCCTCTCGCTCGCCGTCACCACCCGTCTCAGCAAATGCGGTATAAACACGCCCTTCTCCCTCACCTCGCCCCCCAAATCCTTCCTTTTCTCAGCGATATGCGCGATGAACTTGGGGGCAACGAACTCGTCAACGTCTATGAACCCCACCCACTCGCACTGCCGCGCTGCCCGCAGCACACAGTGGGAGAACCCCGCCTGCTGAGACTTGATCCACGGCCATGGGTGTAGGGTTACCACTGGGGTGGAGGGGTGAGAGTGAGGGGCGGAGGAGGAGGAGGAGGAGGAGGAGGAGGAGGAGGAGGAGGAGGAGGAGGAGGAGGAGGAGGAGGAGGAGGAGGAGGAGGAGGAGGTGGAGGAGGAGGAGGAGGAAGAGGTGGAAGAGGAGGTGGAGGAGACTGAGGAGGGGGACGAAGGTTCTACTAGTGATGGAGATGCGTCGTGGCTTTGGTTGTGAGTGGAGCCGACAAACCCTGCCCGCACCCACCATTGGGCCCCCTCAATCCCCACCTCCTCCCCTCCTGCCACAGCCGCACCTCCCAACCCTCCAGACCTTCCCACCCGCCCCTCCTCCTCTCCCCCTCCCCCTCCCCGTACTGCCGCCTCTGCGACCACCGCAGCAGCAGCCTGGCCGGCCGGCGTGCCCACAACCAGCCGAGCGCCGCCGTCCGCCGCCAGGCTGGCGACGACAGCTGTGGTGTTGTCCTCGCTGTTGTTGTCGTACAGGAAGATCCGATCCACGCCCATCCAGTGGTGGTATACCACCCACTCGCGCAGAAACTTCCCCACGTTGAAAATCATCGTGCACACGCACACAAAGTGTGGTTTCCCACCATCACTATCACTGCTACCATTCCGGCTCCCATCGTTGCTGTGATGGCCGGTGGATCCTTGGCCTCCCTCTTGCTGACTGTTGGATCCGTGAGGGGCCTCGGGCTGGTCAAACGGGTCAACGGGGTCAAAGAGCGCTACAGACGGGAACACCCGCCCCTCGTACTCCACCGTCACTGCCCGCATGGCCAAATCTGCGACCTTCCCTGCTGCACCCACCCCAGTGCCGTCCCTGCTGCTGCTGCCGCTGCTGCTGCTGTTGGCAGTACCACCATCAGCACCAACATAGTCGGGCAGAGGGCAGAACACCACCTCCATAGCAGCAGCCAGCGCAGGCACTCGCAGCAGCCCCCCCTGCTCCGCCCCCTCACTGTCACTTCCCCCCTCACTGCCCCTTTCGCCCTCGCCGCCGCTTCCTCCTGCGCCAGCCCCCCCAATCCCCCCATCCGCCCCAAACACACACGTCACGTTGGCCAGCACAGGCGGCATGTGCGGGTTGGTCTGCAGGCCTCTCACAAACAGATACACGCCCTCCCTCCCCTCCGTCTCCTCCCTCTCTTCCCCTTCCACTGTATCTCCCTTCTCCTCCCTCCCATCATAACCTCTCCCCCTCCCCTCCCTCCCCTCCCTCCCCCTCCTCTCCCCCCTCCGCACCGTCACTGCATCGTACACTAGGGGCGGCGGCCTCTTTTTGTGGTTCAGCGCTTGCCACACGACCGGGCCGCCCAGCCGCCCGCCTGCCTTGTCTTCTAGCGTCAGTTGCACACCCTTGGCACCGCTGCTGCTGTCACTGCTCCCGCTGCTGGTGCTGTTACTGCTGCGGCTATTGCTTGTGTTTGCAGCTACCGTCGCAATCTCCCCTGCGGGCCGAGCACAGTGCACGTAGATAACACCAGTACTCGCCTCTCCCACCTGCCCTCCTCCCATCCCTCCCACCTTCCCTTCTCCCATCCCTCTCCTTCCCTCTTCACTCGTCCCGTTCCCGCCTGCCTTCTCGCCGGCCGCCCCTTGCACCCCCACTCCGGTGTCCCCTTGCTGCTCCTGCGACACTCCTACAGTCGCCAACCGTCGCCTGCTGCTCCCTCCCGTCGCCCTCTCCGCCCCGCGGCTGCTGCTACTGCTGCTCCTGCTGTCGCTGCCACTCCCACTGCTGCTGCTTCTCTCGTCGCCCACGTCGCCCACGTCGCTCACGTCGCTAAAATCGCCGACCTCGCCCACTGCGTCGAGCCCATCAGCCGACACCTGTAGCACCCGCGTGCGAGCAGTCAACGAACCTGCCCCGAAGCTGCACTGCAACTCCTTTATCCGCTCCAACTGCTGCTGCGACACTCGAGCCTTGCCGAACCGCGCGCTCCTAGAAATTCCGTTAGAGGCTCCCTCTTCCAAAGATCGCTTACCATCTGCAGCTGCCACGTCAGCGGCCGTGTAACGAGCTGCCACGTCGGATTTTGGCGAGTCCGATGGAACCAGCGGCCGCAACAGGAGGAGGATAAAGTCCGGAAGATCGATTGCTGCATGGAAAACCAAGCTTTTGAAGTCAACCAAGTCAATCGAGTCAACCGCAGAAATGCCGCTTCTTCCGACCACCTCGCTCGTCTCACCCTTCTCGCTTGTTCCTTCCTCTCCGCTCGTTGCGAGCGCTTCGACATTCCCGCTCCCTCCGCTCTCCCCGCTCCCCCCGTCGCCTTTCAGGCTTCCGAGCCCGAACCGGTCCTGCGCTCGCGCGCCGCCCCTCGCGAGCCGCTCCACCTCCATCCACGTCATCTCTCCTGCGTCGACTGCGACGCCTGCGACGGTCGGTCGCACCTCTATGCCTTCACTACCCGCCAATAAGTTATCGCCAAATTTCAGACTCGCGTCGGTCCCTCTCCGTCCGACGAGCGCTAACAACACGAGGAGAATCGCCAGCACAGAGAGAACAACAGATGCGGAGGACAGGCGCAGCTGCAGCAGTAACGCCACGAGCCGGTATATTACGCCTTCCCGTTTGCCCCGCGGTTTGTGATACAACGGTATCGGCACATCTCCGCCGTTGGATTTGTCGAAACGGGGATCCGACGTGCCTGACCGAGAAACGGGTTTCGAGTTTTGTTCCGCGGAGTCGCGCCTGCTCATCGCCGCCGGGGATGTCGCGGACGCGCGCTGCGCGATCTCCGCGAGTGCGGAAGACGGAGCGCGCATTGCTGCGGTTACGTCACGCCTAACACGGTACTACCCTGGATAATTACCAGACCTCCTAAATCGTAGGTTCAATATCCAATGTCTAACTAACCTACTCACGCTCCCATGATCTCTCCCAGTTTACCCAGTCTCAGGTCTAGTCAAGTCCAGTATTTCCAGTATTCTTGAAACGTATCGGAATTCACCTAATCCCCAGTGCTTCCAAGGTCTCCAGCCATTCGTGCCTCAGTTTCTCGTACCTCGAAGATTGCTCAGTGCATCCAGTTTCAGAATCTGGTTGATGAATTTGACTGGAAGGCGTTCCCAAGCAGAACCAAGGATTCTCTTGGTCTTTCCCAACCAATTCCTCCAGAAAGCAATTCCAAGTGGAGGAACAGTCAGGCGCGGCGCGACGATCGGCGGGAGAAGAGGGCGGGAAGCTCGGTTGCGCTGTCAGGACTCAGTCAGGGAGGATGTCAGTAATTGAGTACAGTGCTACAGTTCGTTTGTGCTTATATGGTCTGGGGAATGCGAGGTTTGAGCTTATCGGGTGATAAGCCCAGACGGTGATAAGCCCAGGTGGCTGAAATCTGAAGGTGAAAAACGTTTCTTATGATTTAAAATAAATAACCAGCTTCGGGTTCTGCCGGCCTGTACATTGAGCAACAAAACAAGGAACAAAATGAATGCTATCATCAGCTGACTAAAATTTCTTCCTTATTGCAGTCTAATTCGAGCATTGTACACGGGATTGGCTGACCAGTTCCTGGCCTAGCACGCAGAGTTTGGGGTGCTTATGAAGGGGCTTGGATGAAGGAATGTGGAACGAAGGCACACGGAGGCCTGAGAGCACAGGTTTCATGAAATGCAGTCTCAGGAGAATAATGAGTTTCTTTTGATTGTGCTGGCTTTTTATTTGTCTTTTCCTTCATCAACAGAATCAACGGTAGGTAGCCGGCCCTGTCAGCATGTGCTTTCTTCTAAAGTCGACTGAAGGAAGGAACAGAAGCACCAATGGCAGCTGGCGCTGGGCGAGAGCACGTGCAGAGGGAGGCGGCCCTTAGCTTGAACTTGAAAATGCGGCCTCTAATGCCTTCCTCACTCGCTCCACTGATGCCCGCGGTGACTGGCGGGGAATAAGGGTCTGGAGGGGAGGGGGGAGGGGAGGAGGGGGCGGGTGGGAGGAGGGAGGGGGGGGAATGAAAGGGGGGATTCACTTAAAAGTTAGCCTCTAGCACCTTCCTCACTCGCTCCACTGATGCCCGGGGTGACTGGCGGGGAATGAGGGTCTGGGGGAGGGGAGACAAGTGGGAGGGAGGAAGTGAATGGGGGCAAGCCACTTAAGAGTCAGCCTCTACCTCTGGTGCCTTCCTCACCTCACTCGCTCCACTGATGAGGGGGGGACTGATGGGGAATGCGCGTCGAATTGTGTGTGTTACATTTGTCAGGCTAGGTTAGGGTTAGCTATTTGTACCACCCGGCCCTTTCAGTTCAGTCATTCCTCTCTATTTCGTTTCTAACAGTCGGGGTCTGGGAGAGGGGCGGAGAGAGGGAGGGAGTTAGGGAGGGAGGGAGGGAGGGAGGGAGGGAAGGAGGGAGGGAGGGAGGGAGGAAGGGAAGGGAGGGAAAGGGAGAAGTTGATATATATATATATGTATATATATATATATATATATAAAGTGAGATGTCGAAGGATGTCAAGCAAGATAGGAGGGTGGCACGGCCATGCAGCATCCAAGCACACTTACCTCAACACCCTTCCCTGATTTGTCCACCGTCCCGCGCATCATTCTGGTATGCATCCATCTAAGAGAGCGAGTAGGCCTACCTCTACAGTGTTCCCTGATTGGTCCACCGTCACGCGCATCATGACCGGAATCTCGTACTGATATGCCTCCATCCACTCCTGCCTCGTTGTTATGTCACGCACCTGTGTGCACATGCACATGGAAGGGGGGATAGGGAATTGTGGATGAGGAATGGTGGGTGGATGGGGAATGGGGGAGGGGGAAGCGGGGAAGAGGGGACAGGGGATGGGGGGACGAGGGAAATGGTGTTTGGCAAATGGGGGATGGTGGGGGGAATGAGGATTGGGGAATAGGAAATGGGGAGTGGGGGATGGGGAATGGGGGATGGGGTATTGGGGATGGGAAATGGGGGATGGGGGATAGGGAATGGGGGATGGGGGAATGGGGGATGGGGGATGGGGAATGGGAATGGGAGATGGGGAATGGGTGATGGGGAATGAGGGATGGGGGAATGGACGATGGGGGAATGAGGGATGGGGGATGGGAGATCGGGAATGGGGGATGGGGAACGGGGGACGGGGAACGGGGGACAGGGAATGGGGAATGGGGAACGGGGAATGGGGAATGGGGAATGGGGAATGGGGAACGGGGAATGGGGAACGGGGAATGGGGAACGGGGAATGGGGAACGGGGAATGGGGAACGGGGAATGGGGAACGGGGAATGGGGAACGGGGAATGGGGAACGGGGAATGGGGAACGGGGAATGGGGAGTGGGGAACGGGGAATGGGGAATGGGGAATGGGGAATGGGGGATTTTGATGGGTTCCTCCACTCCACGGCGCATCTCTACCTGCACTGCTCTCCGACCCACTCAGCAGCAGCGCCATCTTGATCTTCCCCAACACTCCTTCCCCTCTTCCTCTCCCCCATCATCCCCACCCCATCCCCTAGCCTCTCCCCCTTCCCCCCTCCTCCTCCTCTCCCCCCCTCCTGCGCACCTCAATCTGCAATCCCTCGAGAGCACTGCTCTCCGACCCCATCAGCAGCGCAGTATCAATCTTCTCCCCCTCCCTCCCGCGTATCTCCCACATTCCCCATGCGCGTTTTCCCTTCCCCCCCCACCACGCACGCACCTCAATCTGCAATCCATCCAGCGCACTGCTCTCAGTCCCCATCATCAGCGCCGTGTCGATTTTCTCCTTCAGCCCGTCGCACAGGCAGCACCCGTCGCGGCTGTAAATCACCAGCCGCGGCCCGCTCCCCCCGCCAACCTCGCCTTCCGCGCCGCCCGCGCCCGCTCCGCCACTCGCTTCCGCTCCGCCTTGCGAGCTCGCCGCTGCCAGTGCGCGCCCCTGGCCTATTCTGGCGCTAACGCCCGCGATGGCGGGGCTTCCGCGCGTGACACGTGGCAGGAGGGGAGTGGACGAAGGATGGAGGATGGGAGCGCATGTGCGCAGTGGCAAGGATCGGCTCGAAATGCTTCTACAAACTAACCGGTTGGGCAGCACCGCGGCTCGGAAGAACGGACGAACCTTGCCGGCCATTTCGCCGGCCCTCACCACTAGTGGTTGGCTTATTGTCACGGGCACGACCCGTGACAACAGAGGTGACGCTAGACAGCAGGAGGGAGCGCAGCAGCCAGAATGAAACTACAGCTGGTGAAGCTAATAAATACAGAAAGTATAGCGGGGAGAGCTGGATCAAATCTATATCCAACGAGATGTCAGGGAGGTTCTAGGTGCAGTGTTGTCCGCGATAGAAACATTCGGCAAAATCAACGACGATTGTTGTACGACGCACAAACTTATTTCATAAACGTACACTCGTACCAATGCCCAAGTAGATGTAGGGTTGGATTGGTTGCTGGGAGAAGTGGGGGTGTAGGAGGGAAGCTGTTTAATTGGCTGATTGAGATACTTGCGTAACCAATAGGAGATAAGGTCAGGTATTGTGCACACTTTGACACGCATGACATGTCACTAGCTAATCTTTCCACGCTGTCAAAGAAGGGACATTTTTTTTGAGAAAATCCACACTAGATGAAGCTCACGAAATGTGTTTTCCCATCTTCAGACAGAATTACCCTCGTTCCTGGTATTACTTAGAAACTCTACACTCACAGGGGACGGCTGCTAATTTGACCAGGAAATGTTTTTGCGTTGCGAGCCATCTGATTCGTGTCAGACCCAACCTGCCTTCCTTTTCCCTTTTCGAAATTTGCTTCTTCTCCGTTGGCAAAAATATAACGGGACAAGTAGCAACACCCTTCCCGCCAACTCTCTTACCCACTAGTCATGAGCCACAGATACTGTACTGTAGGTTGTCACTCACATGAGCAGGCAGGGTTGTCACAATTCAAAAGCACGAATCTGGACACACTGCTGCTAACATAGTGCACGCAGAGAAACGGCGAGTAGTCAATTAGTATTCGGGCTGTCGTCGTTGCGTCAAAAGCGGTTTTCGGCAGGCCGTTTCTGTTAGTCGCTGCTTCCCTGCGCGCCCAGGGGCAGCGGGGGGATTTTAAATCTCTCGTTGTAATCACTTCTTGTTTTTCTCGCGTCTCACGTTGCAGATTACTAAGTAATTTCTAGTCAAACCGCCAGCTTCCACTGCTCGCAATTTCGTTGCATAAATCTCTTAACCACAGGCAGGTTCGAGCTAGCCGTAAGCAAAGAATGGGAGGGGGAGCGGACAGAAGGCGAGCGCTTTCGCTCTTATCGCGCACCCTATCTTACGCCACGTCAGCATCCCTAGAATCCAATCGCGTCCCGTCCTACTCGTCCTACTCCTCGCTGCTGCTGCTGCGACGCGGACTGTCGTCGCCTGCCGCCAATATCTCGTCGCCGAGCGTCGCACCGTCCATCCCCGCACGTCGCCGCCACTCACTACCGTCGCAACACACCCCTCGCCTCGCCCTACACACCGCTCGCCTCTCGTGTCACCTCGCCGCTAGTCGCAAAGCGTTACCACCCGTAAGCGTCGCCTCCTCCGCGGGTTTTCTGGGTCGTTCCACGTCCGCCCGTGCGCTCTCGACACGTGGTGGCTGCTCAGATGGACAGAATGACGTGGCAGCGTTTCGGGTTTCCCCCGATGGTCGAGACGGTTTAGGGGACGGTTGCTCTCGTTCGAGCGACGGCGACAGGTCAAGGCGTCGCACGCTGCGATGCCTGTCGCAGCCAGTCGAGGATTTCATGCGACCGTTCGTCGACGTGGCGCCCGCGATGTCGCCGTCGCACGGTGGTCGCTGGTTCGTCGCAGAGGGAGAAGGCCGGAACGTGTATCGTAACAGAGAAACTAATCAAGGGTACGTCGTGAATTCGTTAAACGAAGCAGCCGCCCTCGTCCCTTCGTCGCACACTTTCGCAGCATCGTCGCGATCCGACGTGGCGTCGCCTCGAATCGTCGCACAGGGAGCGGAATGGGCGGACGACTTCCCGCTCTCGTTTAACAGCGTCCCCGCCGGGTGGCCCAACGCGCGCCTGGAGGGGCCGGGGGGAGCGTGGGCGGTGCCCGTGTGGGTGGAAATAGCAGCGTCGGCGGAGGGGGGAGCGGGCGGGGATGGGGGGGACGGGGAGGGCGGTGTGGGGGGAGGCGAAAGCGACGGCGCGGTTACCGGGGGTGGCGGAACGGCGGGAGCGGGTGGCGGAGGCGGACGGGGGAGCGGGCGCGGGGAAGAGGAGCTGCTGTGCCCCGACTGCCGTGCGCCTCTCTCTCTCCTCTCCTTCCCCGCCCTTGCCTTCCCCCACTCCCCCACCTCCCCGTCCGCGTCCGCGCTATCCCCGCCCATGTCCGCGGCGGAGGCGCGCGCCAGCGGGCGTTCGGTGCTGTTCTGCCGCCAGTGCCAGCGATTCACCGACAGGCCCGTGGCGGGGGGGACAGGGGGGGCGGAGAATGCGCGGAAGGGGAAAGACGAGCGGGAGCCGCAGGTGACGGCGGAAGGGCAGTGCGCAAGGGGGGGGGAGGGGGAAGGATTGGGGAAGGGCAGGGGCAGGGGGGGCGCGAGAGTTGGGGAGTTTGTGGAGGCGGACTGGTATGAGGCGGACTGGAAACACGTCTTCCCCCTATCCGCCGTTACTCCCCCCGAGCCCCCCGCCTCTGACGCCTGGCAGTGGTCTCGCTTTGGGCGGCAGCTCAGCCGCCCAGACAGCCGCCCGGACGGCCGCCCGGGCGGCCGGTCGGCGCGCAACGAGCTGGAGGGGATGATGGGCGGGGCGAGCGGGGGGGAAGGGGGGAGCGCGCGGAGGGATGCGCGGGAGGAGTATTTGAATCGGTTCCAGGCGAGTTTGCAGGGGTGGGGGGGACACCCGTGGGCGCAGGGGCAGGGGCAGCAGGGGCAGGGGAAGGCAGGCGGAGGGGGGGAGGGGAAAGCGCAAAGGCAGGGACAGGGGCAGAGTGATGGGCAGCAGATGGGCAGCAGCGGAAGGAATAGAAGCCCTGGCGGTGGCGGAAGCAGCGCCAGCGCGTATCCCCCTAGCTTCTCCTCCCCCCTCATGCACGCCCCCAGAGGTCCCCCCGCCCCGCCCCCGCCCCCTTCTCCCCTGGCCGCGCCCACTCAGATTCCCCCTGCGCCTGGCGCGGGCGCGGGGGAGAAACGGGGGAGGGGGCAGCAGAGCGGGGGAGGGGAGGGGAAAGAGGGGCGGGAAGGGCGGGAAGGGCGAGAGGGGAGGGAGGGGCATGTGCCATGTTTTGGGGCGGCAGGGGGAGGGGGGGACGGCACAGAGCACAACTGGGGAGGGGCGAATCTGGGGGAGAATCTGCCCACGCCCAAGCAGATCCGGGCAGCGCTGGACGAATTTGTGATCGGGCAGGATAACTCGAAAAAGGTGAGCGGGTGCTGGTGACGTGGCAGTTGCTGACAGGCTGGCGCGGTTTAGCACTTTTACAATCGCTTACTCGTTATGAGCAGCCTTTGTTCTTGTTGGCGACTGGAGGTTCACATCACAGTGGTGTACACTCACTTCAACGCAAGAATCTCATCCTCCTTATAAGCCCTTCGTGGCCCCCGTTTTAAATATTTATGGCAGGTCCTGGCAGTAGCAGTGTACAACCACTACAAGCGCATCTTCCTTGAGAATCAGAAGCGGGAAAGACTTGCCAACCTGCCTGAGGGGTGAGAAGGGTTTGAGATGGGTGAGAGGTAAGGGGGGGGGGAGGTTGAGTGAGAGGGATGAGAGAGGGAAGAGAGGGAATGGGGAAGAGTGATTGTTTGTCTAACTGAGGTGCGAAAAAGAAGAGGGAAGACGAGGAAGGATAAATAATTTGGTTGGAAAGGTGAAGACAAAAAAAAAAAAAAAAAAAAAAAAAAAAAAAAAAAAAAAACTGCACAGCCTCACACGGCCCCCCTCGTCTGCCCTCTCACTCATTCCCGTTCCTCGCGTTTACTCCCATCCCATTCTCCTCTTCCTCACCTGCCTCCTCTCTCCCGGGATGTGCACATGCGGATGGGGAGAGGGGAAGCAGGACGTGCAAGGACCCGGTGGGTTGCGGGTGAAGGGGGAAGAGGGTAGGAGGTCGAGGTGGAGAACGGCAACAAGCAAGCAAGTTCTACTCCCTTCTGCCTCACCCTTGCTCCCTCTCTCCCCCTCCACTCCCTGTCTGTCTCCGCTCCCTTGCTACCTCTCTCCCCCTCCACTCCCTCTCTCCCTCCCTGCCCCCCTTTACTTTTCCTGCACGGGGATGCGTGCGGGTGGTGACATGGTGTGCGACGACCTGGTGGGGGGACGGGAGGAGGACGAGGTGGGAAGTGTAGTGAAGCCTCACACCCCCTCCCTTTCTGCTCCATCGCCTTGTGCTCCCTGTCTCCTCTCTTCCCCCTTTTACTCTCCCTGGGGCAAGCAGGGCGTGTGAGAACCTGGTGGGGGGAGGCGAGGAGGACGAGGTGGAAGTGGAGAAGAGTAACGTGCTGCTGATGGGACCCACGGGGTCAGGTGGGTTCAAGAATCGCCACTGCAGCATAGGGGGTGGGCAGGGCCGCATGGGAGCAGCGGAATAGCATTGGGTAGTAGTAGTATGGCAACGCAAGCATGGGACGAGGTGCAGGTGGAGAAGAGCAACGTGCTGCTCATGGGACCCACAGGCTCTGGTGGGTGGGTGGGTGGATGCAGCCCATCGGAAGCAGTAGGTGCTCAGACAGGTTCAGGCGTCGTGTCGTCTCAAAACTCGATGGGCCCGACTGACACATGGGCTCAGGTGGTTCCCTCGCACGGGCCCGGATCATGTCGCTTTTGAGTCGACTCAAAAGTCACCAGGTGGGTCCCTCGCACGGGCCCGGATCATGTCGCTTGCATACAGCTGTGCAGGTACTATCGCCTGTCAAGCAAGGGCCCGCCTAAAGGGTTTATTGGATGGAAGATTTTAACAGGCTCATGAATGCGTTCTTGCCTTCCAGCCTTCCTGTCGCCCAGCGGTCTCATGAGCAACGTGCTTCTCATCTCGCTCACGCGTGTGTCTCTCCACTCAACTTATCCCACTCCCCACCTGCCAACTCACCTTATCCGCTCCACTCCATCCGCCCACTCCCTACCTGCTCCGCGCCTGTCCGGCCTGTGATGGCAATGTGGTCAACATCCCCCTATTCTTTGCGGACGGTATTTCATCCGCTGCTGTCCCTTGTGTGCAGTGCAGGCAAGACTCTTTTGGCCAAGACTCTGGCATAGTCACACTGGTGGGTGACTATGCCCCCCCCCCCCCCCCCCCCCACGCGTGCAGGCAAGACCCTATTGGCCAAGACGCTGGCTCGGTTTGTCAACGTGCCATTTGCCATTGCTGATGCCACCACTCTCACCCAGGTGCGCCTTTAACGAGGTGACTCTTGGTTGACTCAAAGGTCACTCTCACCCAGCTGCATCGCATTCCACCACTCTCATCAACTTCCACACTCAGCTGCGTCTCTCTGATTCTCAGGCTCGATACAACCTGGTTTCCACGCTCTTTCACGCTATGCCTCACAGGGAGTGTGTGACAAGGGGCATATTACTATCACCGTTGCTCTTGAGCCAATTCCCACACGATGACTCTTGATTCGCCTCAAAGGTCACCTGGTTACAATGGCACGCAGGACAACGGGCGTTCTACTATCACTGTGCTTTTTGAGCCAATGCTCACCTATTTCTCATTCTCCGCTGCTGTCTGTCGTGCAGGCGGGATACGTGGGAGAGGATGTTGAGATGATTCTCTATAAGCTGTTGCAGGTGAGGGGCGGGGGTTTGGTAGCGGTGAGGTCAGGGGGGTTACTGAAGGTGAGAGGGTATTTGTGCTGTCTGTCGGGCAGGCGGGGTTCGTGGGAGAGGACGTTGAGATGATTCTCTATAAGCTGTTGCAGGTGAGGGGCGGGGGTTTGGTAGCGGTGAGGTCAGGGGGGTTACTGAAGGTGAGAGGGTATTTGTGCTGTCTATCGGGCAGGCGGGGTTCGTGGGAGAGGACGTTGAGATGATTCTCTATAAGCTGTTGCAGGTGAGGGGCGGGGGTTTGGTAGCGGTGAGGTCAGGGGGGTTACTGAAGGTGAGAGGGTATTTGTGCTGTCTGTCGGGCAGGCGGGGTTCGTGGGAGAGGACGTTGAGATGATTCTCTATAAGCTGTTGCAGGTGAGGGGCGGGGGTTTGGTAGCGGTGAGGTGAGGGGGGTTACTGAAGGTGAGAGGGTATTTGTGCTGTCTGTCGGGCAGGCGGGGTTCGTGGGAGAGGACGTTGAGATGATTCTCTATAAGCTGTTGCAGGTGAGGGGCGGGGGTTTGGTAGCAGTGAGGTCAGGGGGGTTACTGAAGGTGAGAGGGTATTTGTGCTGTCTGTCGGGCAGGCGGGGTTCGTGGGAGAGGACGTTGAGATGATTCTCTATAAGCTGTTGCAGGTGAGGGGCGGGGGTTTGGAAGAGATGAGACGGGTCAGTAGAGGTGTTGCTTGCCGTGCAGAGGACGTGAAAATGATATTTTACAAGTTGCTGCAGGTGAGGGGAGGGGTTTGTTGAAGCGAGGTGGTTTGTTCGAGATGAGGGAGTTTGTTTTCTGGAAGCACATCAATGCAGCAGGACTCACACGTGATTGTCGGCGTCTGAAAATCCTTCAACCATGTTGCGAGGAAGATTTTCGAAAAATGAACTCGACGGATGGTACTTCGTAAGTTTCTTGGATCACAAAAATGGGATGATTTATTTTACAAACTCTCAAATGGTATTCTTTGTAACCCCGCCCAATTCCTCCCTCTTCTGAAACTCCTCCCTCCGTCCCTCCTCCCTTTCCCATTCCGCTTTTCTTCCTCCCCCCTCCCTCCCTCCTCCCTCTACCCACATTCCTTCCCTCCTCCCTTACATTCATTTTGCTCCTGATGTGCATGTTTGCATGTTGATGACTATCTGTTTTGTGTGTGATTTCCATGGTGGTGTGTGTGTGCGTGACTGTCCATTTGTCTTCCGCAGAGCGCCAATTTCAGTGTGTCAGCAGCGCAGCAGGGCATTGTGTATATCGACGAGATTGACAAGCTCACCAAGAAGGTGAGCTCAATCACGCCAACCCACAGAGCTCTCTCTCTAGGTAAGCTCACTAGCAGCACTGGCACTAGGCAGGTGCTGCCTTCCCCACCCCACCAGAGCAGCAGCGCAGCAGGGCATCGTGTCTCTACGAGATTGAAAAGCTGACCAAGAAGGTGAGCACACTGAAGCCAACCCTCAGATCTCTCACTCACACACGGTGTGTGAGCTCTGTACCACCACTTTGAGGCGTCTCAAGAGAGTTTTGAGTTGTCTCAAAGCCCTCACACACAGTGAGTGAGTGAGCTCTGTAACACCACTAGCACCAGGCCGTTGTGTGTACGTTTGAGGTACATTGGCGTTTTCTTACCGCCAATTGTGGGGGTGTAGCTCACATGGTAGAGCGATCGCTTTGCATGTGATAGGTATGGGGGATCAATACCCCGCGTCTCCAGAGACCCACAGTTTTGCACACGCGCCTTTCCCCGCACCCCGCACATGATCAGTGTAAAGGTGAGCCACGTTATTCCGTTTCTACTCGAAACTAGGTGATTTGTTGTGAATGGTACATACATAACATCCAATGCTACGTGATTATAAAGCGCCATAGTGTAGATTCTCCTTCGTAATGTGCTGCAACGCCTTGTGTCTTTGAGGCGAATCATAACATTTTCTCGTTAATCACTCTTGTGATATCAGTTCCATGTAATCTTCTCCTGGCCGTATCTTCCTCTCCAATCCCACTTCCCTCCTCCCTCGTGCTCAAACTCCTCTCCTCATTTCACCTCGTCGCCTTTCTTCCTCCACATCTTTACGCCCTCCTTGCCTCCCCTTCATTGCCGCACCCCCGATCCCTTGCACTTTTATTGAAGTGGCTTTGGTGGACTCTCACGAGAGTGCCGCTCCCCTTCCCTCGTCTCCTTTATCCTCTTCTCCTCTTCCCTCCCCTCTTCTCACTCCCTCCCCCCATCACCATACAGGCGGACGGCAATTGAGCGGGGGTTACACTCACCCGTGGCCCTTTTCCCCTCCCGCCTTCCCTCACCTCCCCTTCTCTCTTCCCTCCCCCTTCCTTTCTGTTCACCACCGTGCAGGCGGAGGGCATAACGAGCACAAGGGATGTGTCAGGGGAGGGCGTGTTGGAGTATCTTCAAATCAGAGGTGTTGATATGATGCCTGTCTGTTCCCTCTCTTCTTCCCTCCTCCCCTCGTCACCACACAGGCGGAGGGCATAAGGAGCACAAGGGACGTGTCAGGGGAGGGCGTGTTGAGGTGCCTTAAAAGTGTCTTAACGGTGCCCCCTCTCCCCACCCTGTGTGCCCGACAGGCGGAGGGCATCACGAGCACAAGGGACGTGTCAGGGGAGGGCGTGCAGCAGGCGCTGTTGAGAATGCTCGAGGGCGCTGTGAGTAAAGAAGGAGGGGGGGTGGGGTTATGGGGGTGGGGTTATGGGGGTGGGGTTATGGGGGTGGGGTTATGGGGGTGGGATTATGGGGGTGGGGTTTTGGGGTTATGGGGGTGGGGTTATGGGGGTGGGGTTTTGGGGTTATGGGGGTATGTGAGAAGCAGGGTGGGATGACAGGGACGATTCAGGGGAGGGCGTGCAGCAGTCACTGTTGAGAATGCTGGAGGGCGCTGTGAGTAAAGTAGGGGGGTGAAGGAGGGGGGGGAGGGAGGGGGGGGTTATGGGGATAGGTGAGCAGAGGTTTAGAGGAGGGTGGGATGACAGGAACGTGTCAGGGGAGGGCGTGCAGCAGCAAGCGTTGTTGAGGCGCTGCTGAGAATGCTTGAGGGAGCTGTGAGTAGCAGGGGAGGCTGGGAGTTACGAGAGTTTCCCGCTTATGAGGGTTATGGAGTGGAGTGTGAGGTGTGAGGGGCGTGAGTTATCAGGGGAGGGCGTGCAACAAGCATTGTTGAGAACGCTAGAAGGCGCTGTGAGTGTCGATGGAGGGGAGGGTGGGCTGTAAGGGAACATGATGTGAGCAGAGGTTTGGAGGAGGGTGGGATGGTATGGTAGGGACGTGTCAGGGGAGGGTGTGCAGCAGGCCTTGCTGAGGACGCTGGGCGCTGTGCGTGGGGGTAGGGAGACGGGATATGCAGTGCGTGGGGGCAGGGAGACGGGATATGCAATGAAATTACTTTTGAGGCGCTTCAAAAGCTGTGCATGGGCGCCTCAAATTTGTTCGTCAATTCAAACGTGGGACGTGTCAGGGGAGGGCGTGCAGCAGGCCTTGCTGAGGGATGCTGTGAGGGCGCTGTGAGTGTGGTGTGAGTGTGCTGTGAGGGCGCTGTGAGTGTGGTGTGAGTGTGGTGTGAGTGTGGTGTGAGTGTGGTGTGAGTGTGCTGTGAGGGCGCTGTGAGTGTGGTGTGAGTGTGCTGTGAGTGTGCTGTGAGTGTGGTGAGTGTGGTGTGAGTGTGCTGTGAGGGCGCTGTGAGTGTGGTGTGAGTGTGGTGTGAGTGTGGTGTGAGTGTGGTGTGAGTGTGGTGTGAGTGTGGTGTGAGCACCTATGGCAGTCTTAGCATGCTCTTCCCGAGTCGCCATAGGCAACCCCCTTATACCTTCATGTAATTTGATGAGCTTGTTCAGTCTTTGAGAATTCTCAAAAACCCGCAATTTCCTTGTACCTCCATGAGCTTGTTCGTCACTGTGTGTGTATGTGTGTTTTGAGTCGACTTAAAAGTGGTTCCCTCCCTGGCCCCACTGGTGCGGGTCCTCCCTCTCTCTCTAGGTGTAGGTGACTAGCGGAGGTGCCTTTAGAGCCTTTTAAGCAATGCACGGAGGAGCCTCTCAAAAGACATGCACGGGTCCCTCTCTCTCCCTCTTTTTCTGTTGCAGGTGATAAATGTCCCTGAGAAAACAGGGAGGAAGAACCCAAGAGGCGAGTTCATACAGGTACAAGATTGCGGGGTTGCAGCGGTAGGGGTTTGCGGTTTTGCAGGGGTAAGGGGTGCGGGGTAGGGGGGTTGCGGGAGTAGGGGGGTTGCGGGAGTAGGGGGGTTGCGGGGGTCTATGGGTACGGGGGTGCGAGGGTGCTGGGGTGTGGGAATGCAGGGGTGAGGGGGCACAACAAAGACACCAGGGATCGATACCTGTTGTTGTGCCCGATTGCTCATTGTAGATGAAACTCAAGACGACTCGAGTATATCACACAATGTGGAATGTGCTTTCTTATCAATGGATAGCTTTTGTACCATGTGCCGCATTCTGCTTGCCTACTGCCCTTGTGCTATGTACGTCCCCTTGTGCCTACTGCCCTTGTGCTATGTACGTCCCCTTGTGCCTACTGCCTCACAGTAATGCTTGCTGCCCCTTGCTTTGCTCCACCCCACCACCAGCTCACCACACACAACATTCCCTTCTCCTGCCCTCCGTCCCTACTGCCGGCCAGCCGTCCCTACTGCCGGCCAGCCATTCCCCTCCCGTGCCCAATTCCCCATGGCCATTTCCCATGACCCGTGCCCAATTCCCCATGGCCATTTCCCATGACCCGTGCCCAATTCCTGTCTCATGCCCAATGCCCCATGCCCCCCCCCCATGTCCCCCCCTGGCCTAACCACCAGCTGGTCACACAGAACATTCTCTTTATCTGCCCTCACCTCCTCTGTCCGCCCCCTTGCTTTGCCCCCTTGCTTTGCCCCCTTGCTTTGCCCTCTTTTGCCTGCCCCCATACTTTGCTTTGCCTGCCCCCCTCTGCTACCTGCCCCCTTGCGTTGCCCCAAACTGCCCCTTTCTTTGCCCCACCCACCCCACCAGCAGGACACACAGAACATTCTCTTCATCTGCCCTCCACATAAGAGAATGTCCTGCCATTTGCCCCCCACGCCCCACGCCCCACGCCCCACGCCCAACCTCTCATCCCCCCCCATGCATCCCTTGCCCCACCAGCTCGACACACAGAACATTCTCTTCATCTGTGGAGGAGCGTTCGTGGATCTCGAGAAGACGATAGCCGAGAGGTGAGGGGGTTGGTAACAAAGGTGAGGGGGTTGGTAACAAAGGTGAGGGGGTTGGTAACAAAGGTGAGGGGGTTGGTAACAAAGGTGAGGGGGTTGGTAACAGAGGTGAGGGGGTTGGTAACAAAGGTGAGGAGAAGCAGAGAGGTGAGAAGACAAGAGTAGAGGGGTGACAGAAGCAGTGTGCACCGCCAATGTTAGGAATGTATCATGTGCCTTTCGTTCGCCATGCTAAGCTAGTTGGTTTCCGAGCATATGCTGTATCATGTTCGCACACTGCAAGCCCTGAAAGCACATACGATGACTTGCTTGCAGTGGTGTGCTGTGCACACATGATACAAGCAAGCAAGCAAGCATCCATCGGCTGCAAGCAAGCAAGCATCCATTGGCTGCAAGCAAGCAAGCATCCATCGGCTGCAAGCAAGCAAGCATCCATCGGTTGCAAGCAAGCAAGCAAGCATCCATCGGCTGCAAGCAAGCAAGCAAGCATCCATCGGCTGCAAGCAAGCAAGCAAGCATCCGTCGGCTGCAAGCAAGCAAGCATCCATCTTCTCCCTACTTGCAGGAAGCGCAAGTCATCCATCGGCTTCGGAGCGCCCGTGCGAGCATCCCTGCGCAACCGATCTGTTCTTGACGCCCGCACTGCCGGCTCGCTGCTGCAATCGGTGGGTGCTGCCGGCTCGCTGCTGCAATCGGTGGGTGCTGCCGGCTCGCTGCTGCAATCGGTGGGTGCTGCAATCGGTGGGTGCTGCCGGCTCGCCGCACTGCTGTACACTGTTGATCTGGTTGTTGGTTTGGTTGGTTCATCTTTTTTGTTGTTTGTTTGTTTGCTTGTAAGTTAGTTTGTTTGGTTTGTTTTGGTTCGGTTTTGTTTGTTTCCTTGTTTTGTTTTGTCTTGTTTCAGTGCGTTTGCCAGTGTTCCATGCTTGCGACACTTGATGTGTGTTTGCTTGTGGTCGTGTTACTTGTAATGGTTGCTTTGAACTGTCATACAAGTCAGTTGCTGCAGTTGATGCGTGCTCTTCCCTCAACCATCCTGTTCCTTCTTTCATGGTATTCCTTCGCCCCCCTGCCCCAGGTGTATGCCTGCTTCTTCCCCCATTCCCACCCCCCCCCCGCCCCCTCCCCGACCCGTTTTCCTTTCCCCTCCTCCCCTTTTTATTGTTCATCAATGGCAGGCAGAGAGCACCGACCGGGAAGCCTACGAGCTCAGCTCCGAGTTTGTGGGGTGATTCGCTGTGTTATTGTTATACCCCTCCCCATCCCTCCCCATCCCCCCCCATCCCTCCCCACCCCTCCCGACGCCTCCCCATTTCTCCCCACCCCGCCTCCCACAACGCCAGGCAGAGAGCACGGACCTGATAGCCTACGGGCTCATTCCCGAGTTTGTGGGCCGATTCCCGGTGCTCGTGGGGCTGCATGCTCTCACAGAGGAGCAACTCGTGCAGGTAATAACTGGTGCAGGTGGCAAGTGGTGCAGGTGGCAAGTGGTGGTGCAGGTAGCAACTGAGGGACCTTGTGGAGGCGTCTCAGAACTCGCCTGAAAGCCAGAGTCCGCATACAGTGCTGCGTGACTGTGCTCTCTTCTCTGTGAAGGTCTCGAAGGTGCCCATTCACAAGGGAGATGATCGGCCTCGTTTTACGCCCTTGATGTCCTTATCCGTTTACTCCTCCCTGTGGCTGTGCGGTTCCTGTTTGCCAGGTTCTGTTAAAGCCCAAGAACGCCCTCAGCAAGCAATTTGCAAAGCTGCTGGCTATGAACAACGTGAGTGAAGGCTACTGTTAGAACCCGTTTCCAGGGCTTGTGAGCAGCGTGATTGCTGGGTGGGCTGCTGCTGGTGGGTCATGACTCTCACAAATCTCTGCTAACAATTAGTGCAAGGTACGAGAAAGGGCAGCGATCGGACCTGTTTTTTATCAACACGACTAGTGCATGTGCAAGGTCCCTTGAGTCGATTCAACAATGCGCGTGCCATGAAGTGTTTGATGGCAAAAGCAGCACTCGTGCTGGCTCTCTCTTTCATGTCTCTGACCAATCCCCTTCTCTCCCTCTCTCCTTTCTCTACCAACCAGGCCCGGCTGCACATGACAGAGGGCGCAGTGAGGGCCATTGCTCTCAGGCAGGGCAGCACTCATCCTTCCTCCTTCATTTTCCTCGTGTTCACTCCCTTTCCCATTGATTGCCCCCTACCAACCAGGCCCGCTTGCACATGACAGAGGGGGCCATGAGGGCCATTGCGTGCAGGGCAGCAGCACTCATACCTGCGTATTCCCCATGCTCTCCCTCTGTTTCCCTTCAAATTTTACCCACCAGGCCTGGCTGCACATGACAGAGGGCGCAGTGAGGGCTATTGCTCTCAGGGCAGCAGCACTCATACCGTCTTCCTTTACCTCATGCTCTCCTACTGCTCTCCTACTTCCCCTCTGCAACCACTTACCTACTCAGGCGCGCTTGCACATGACGGAGGGGGCAGTGAAGGCCATAGCACGCAAAGCAGCAGCACACATTCTTGCCCGCTTCCTTCTCGTCAAGTTCTCCCCACTTCCCTCGTCCACTCCACTTATCCAGGCTCGGCTGCACATGACAGAGGGCGCAGTGAGGGCCATAGCGCGCAGGGCAGCAGCACTCACACCTGCCTTCTCCCCGTGCTCTCCGTCCTTTTCCCCTCAAATCCACCCACCCAGGCTCGGCTGCACATGACGGAGGGAGCAGTGAGGGCCATGGCGCGCAGGGCAGCAGCACGCAACACGGGGGCCAGGGGGCTGCGATCATGCATGCTACCTTCTTCCCTCTTTATCCCTTTATATCCTCCCACCAACCAGGCCCATCTGCACATGACGGAGGGCGCAGTGAGGGCCATAGCGCGCAAGGCAGCAGCACGCAACACGGGGGCCAGGGGGCTGCGATCGCTGCTGGAGGGGCTGCTTACCGAGGCTATGTATGAGGTACGGCGGTTACCGAGGCTATGTACGAGGTCCGGTGGTTACCGAGTCTTCTATGAGGTACGGCTGGGTTGCCAAGGCTATGTATGAGGTACGGCGGTTACCGGCTATGAATGAGGTTCGGCGGTTACCAAGGCCCCAATCCTATGCTCCCATCAATCCCCTGCTCATCCCAAACCACCAGGTCTCCAGCTCTCTAATCGAGGCAGTGGTGTTGGACAAGGCATCAGTCAGGCACGAGGGGGAGGAGGGGGGGGAGGGGGAGGAGGGGGGGAATGGGGTACCCTGCACCCTGTTTTCATACACTCATCCCTGCCATCCCTGCTCTCTCATGCTTGATATTCCATACCTAACCACCAGGTCCCCAGCTCTCTGGTAGAGGCAGTGGTGATGGGACGAATCATCAGAGGAGGATGAGGCCGAGGAGGGAAAATCGCGTTGCAAATGTGTCCTTCATCATTGCCCTCATACCACGCCCATCCATCACCCCATGCCCATCCATCACCCCATGCCCATCCATCACCCCATGGCCATCCATCACCCTATGCCCCCATCCCCACCAGGTCCCCAGCTCTCTGGTGGAAGCAGTGGTGCTGGACGAGGCATCAGTGGGGCACGAGGGGGAGGAGGGGGAGGAGGGTGTGCCAGGGTGTGGGGCCCACATTCTCCAAGGGGAGGGCGCGTGGGAGCGGTGGTTGCAGGAGAACGAAGGGGGAGGAGAGAAGGCGGGAGGGAAGGGAGAGGAGGTCCAGGGCGGAGGAAGCAAGGGAGGGTCATCTGGGGGAGGTGGAAGTGATGAGGAATCGGATGCAGCTCCTGCTCTTGCCACAGCCACTGCAGCTTGATCTGCCTGGTCGTCTCCTGTCGAGCACCTGTCTACCACGCTTGGTGTGTTTTGAGTCGAGTCAAAACGCATGAGGAAGCGGTCTCTGCTCAGTTCCTGCTCTTGCTACGGCCACTGCAGCTTGATCTGCCTGGTCGTTTCCCCTGCAGCAACGGTTGACTACGCTTGGTGTGTTTTAAGTCGCCTCAAACACATGAGGATTCGGACGCTGCTCCTGCTCTTGCCACAGCCACTGCAACTTTTGAGATGTCTCAAAGTCTTGCCACAGCCACTGCAGCTTGATCTGCCATGCCACCTTTTCTCCCATCCAGCATCTGTCTACTTACTACTGTGCTGGACTGTGGGATGGACTGTGGGATTTCACTGTGCTAGAGCGTGCTGCTATTGGTGCGGTGTTTCCTTGCGAATGGGAAGGTGGGATTGCAGGATGTTTTCCATCATCTGTGTGTATATGCCTCTTCTCTTCTCTTGCTCTGAGTTTAAACACTTAGTGTGCCTCTCATGGCATGTTTTCCGGCAAGTACTGTACTTCATGTATGATATTCGTTCAATAGCTTGTGAAGTTATGTGTGAATGCCTTTTTCAAAGAACTGCAAGAACGTATGTAACAAATTCATGGCTGTGTCCGATTGAAAGCATGAGAAACTTGTGTTGTACAGTTCCACCGTTGTAGCAAGTTAACAGTAGTGCATTTGTGTTTCTGTTGATGGCTCTAATGGAAACTGGAAACTTCTACAGCGGGGAAGGATGGTTCGGAAGTTGGTTGTGGGTGGTTCGCAAGGCCGCGTTTGCTGGTGTATCGGTAGTTTCCAGTCTGGTGAGTAGAGGTTCAAAGCGATGAAGCATTACAAAACGTATCCAACAGTTTTACTTGTGGGCTGGGGGGATTCTTCTGTTCAATCCCATAAGTAATCATCACAAGTGCCAAGTTAGCATCTTCAGAACTCCAAGATTATGGCCATTTTCTGAACGTATTTCTAGTGACGTGGTATTTCCAGAAACGCTCTTCGACCACGTCCCACATGAACTCTGCTATCACCACGAGTAAAGTCCACGACAAACAGGCAAGCAAATATAGAGATACTAAAGATTTCGCAAGGCGGTCAATGAGATAGTGAGATTTATTCATCATTATCTCACTTGTTGACCATGCATTCGTTCAGGAATCATGGGCCGACGAAAACGGATTACCGAGGCGCACCGGGTAACCAGCCGGCGAAATTAGATCGTGCGATCCCTGCGAAATTAGATAGCACGATTCCGGCAATTCTCCCGTGGCACGTGCTGTTCATTCTCTTCGTCGCCGTGCAAGCCTACTCGCTCCGCACGCTAATCGTGTATCCGCCGTCCATTTTCTCCGCATCCGACGGTTACCAGCAGCACCACCAGCATCAGCAGCCGCAGCCACAACAGCATCAGGGGCGCGAATGGTCGGAGCGCGCCGAGCCCGTTTTCGCGGCGGAGCAGTCGGAACTGGAATTAAAAGCCCCCCCGCACGGGGAGGCGGGAAGGAACGACGGTGGATCAGAGCGGAGCGATGCGATGGGGTCGCTGGGAAGGTGGGGAAGGGTGGGGAGGGTGGGGAGGATGGGGAAAGGCGGGGGAGAGGGTGGGAAGGTTGGGGAGGGTGAGGAGGGGAAGGGTGGGGAGGGTGGGGAGGGTGGGGAGGGAGTGGAATGTACGCTGCTCTGACTCCCTTCCCTTCCACCCCTTCTCCATGTGTGTGGATCCTTGACTTGTCGCTATGCCATTCGCCTTCCCAGGTCTCAATACGCTATTTCCTGGTACATTCAAAACAATGCTCTGACATTTTGTCCTGTCTCCCCCTCCCCGTCCCCTCCCCCCCCCCCTGCCTTTCTCCGCCACTTCCCCCTGCCTCTCACGCCCCCCTGCTTTCCACCCTCACTCCCCCCTTCTCCACATTTCCCACCAAACAAATGTCAATTGTGTCTCCACCTCCTCTCACCTTTCCATCTGCCCGCCAGGCACCTCCTCTCAGACCCTGGGCAGAAAAAAAAGAAGGGAGTCACAACAGCAGAGGACGTGGATTTCTTTCTGCACCGCCGCTTCCCCTCCTGCAAGCTGGAATACATCGGCGGGCAGCCCGGGCAGGCGAAAGAAAAAGGCGAGGGAATCGTGTGGCCCGTGTGCTCCGATCACCTGCGGCCAAGAGGAGTCGTGTACTCGTTTGGAGTGGGCCCGAACCTCCTGTTTGAAGGCGAAATGACCTTGCGGGGACAGCAGGTGAGGGGAGGAGGTGGGGTGGGGTGGAGTGGGGTGGAAGAGGGGGTAGGCGGGTAATGTGAGGACGAATGAGGTTGAACCTTCTGTTTGAAGGCGAAATGACCTTGAGAGGACAGCAGGTGAGGCAGGGGTTGTGTAAGATGGGAAGGGGTATTGTGTGGTGTGATTGGAGTAAGATTGGATTACCTGCGTCCAAGAGGGCCCACTCGTTTCGTGTGGGTCCGAACCTTCACATTTGAATGCGAAATGACCTTGAGGGGACAGCAGGTGAGGCGGTTGTATGTGGAATGGGGGCCCCGGAAGGGGGGGAGGGAGGTAGGGGTCGAACGAAGGCGCCCAGACTCGTGAGGAGGCATAACGTAATGCCTCTGAGAGGGCAGCAGGTGGGGCAGGGGATGTGTGAGATGGGAAGGGGTGTTGTGTGTGTATTGTATGACCACCTGTGTCCAAGAGGAGTCGTGTACTTGTTTTGTGTGGGCCTGAAGCTTTTGTTTGAGGAAGATATAAATTGGAGAAGACAGCAGGTGACGGGAGGATGAGATGTGCAATTGTGTGGGAAGGGGGGGCTACTGGGGGTTGATTGAGGGGCGTGTTTTTAATTACCTCTTTATTGGCGATACCTTTTTACTAACAAGTGCTGCACACTCCACCTTTCGCATCCCACGAAACCCCCCTCTTCCGAACCCCCTGCGATCTTCCCAGTTTCGCCCTTCTCTATTCAGCGAGCCTTTGTTACCATTAATATCTAATGTCTCGTCTTTGGAACATCTCCCCTCCTTCCACACCCACCAACACGCCCCCCTCCCCTCCCTACTTGCAGGTGTTTGTGTTCGACCCTTTCATCAACGACACCACCTTCTTCTCCTCCCTGCTGCATCCATCCACTTGCTGCTTGCGTCTCCTCTTCCTCCTTCCACATCACACCCTACTGAACCTCCACCCCACCCCCTCCCCCCCCCCCACAGGTGTTTGTGTTCGACCCTTTCATCAACGACACCGCCTTCGCCTCCATGCTGCAACCCATCAAGGGCCTCTCCCCCCGCCGCTCCCCCCAGTTCCGCCCCTTTGCCCTCGGGCCCCGGGATGGGGTTGCCCTCTTCCACCCCATACCCACTCCCTCCTCTTCCCCATCCTCCTCCTCGTTCTCTGCATCCTCTGCTGCTGCCTCTGCTGCTTCCTCCGCCTCATCGGCTCAAGAGACGCGGGAAGCAGCAGTGCTGCGCCTGCGCACGTTCATGTGCATGCACTCCCACCGTTGGATCGACATCCTACGGCTGGATATCGCCGGGCTGGAGCTCGATCTGTGCGAAAATGCAGCCACCGCAGCAGTGGCGGCAGGAGTAGGGGGATTAGGAGGGGGGGATGCATTCGGCACGAGTGTGGGAGATTTGACGCAACATGGCGCCGCGGCATTGGCCGAGAAGACCCCCGTGGGGCCCACGCCAGGGAGTGTTCCGATTGGCCAGGTGGCGGTGAGATTCCATGCTGAGCTGGCGGGGAGGGACGGGGCGAAGAGGCGGCAGAAATGTGAGGAGACCTTTGCTGCTTGGGGACTGACGAGAGTGCATGTGATGGGGGATGGGCGCACTGTGCTGTTTGCTCGCACCGATGCTCCTGCTGCGTTGTAACTTGTAGTGCGCAAACGTGCGTGCTTCTAAGTTTTTGGTCGACTCTGTCATAACGCAAACATGGCGGGTGGTTTTTTAATGTACAGTATTGTTCTGGCTAACCACACTGTAGACGTACTGTAGTTCCATTTCGTACTGTAGGAGAAGAAGCTAGGGTGGAGTGGAAACAAGCATGACACTTTTCTGTAAGACTGTTGACCAACTTCAAGTGTTGGAGACAAGTGAACGCGTACAATACAGCATTGTCGTGCCCAGCGGGATGGTATGGTACGTTACGGTACGGTAGTAGGCCAGGATATTCAGGTGCATGGATGTGTTATAACGGTTTGATTATAAGCACACTTGCCCTGGGGAATCATGGTAAACATACCCCTCATTACAGCGGGTGTTCCTAGCCGAATAATGCGAGCCACACCTCTTCTTGGCTGATTATAGATGGCATTATCGATAAAACTCCAGCTCCCTTCATCACAGTGGGTGTTCCATCAACTATACCCTCCCCAGGCACCCTTCACCTGCATCTGTTATCTTACTCAGCAACTCAGCAGTACCCTCCCCAGGCACCCTTCACTACAATCACATTCATCCGATCCACCAGCGACTGGGGCAGCAGATTCACCTGCCAACACCCGTCCAGATCTACCTCCCTCAGACAGGACAAACTGCCCAACTCGCTGGGCAGAGCCCTCAGCCGCTTGCAGTCTCGCAGCGAGAATCGGGTGAGTGATGGGAGGGAGAATGGAGAGGGAAGCAGATGCAGCCCAATCAAACGATTGAGTTTCAGAGAGGAGAGGCGGGTGAAAGAGGACAGAGGATCCGGAAGACAAGTGATGGGCAGTTAACAGTGCTGAGAACTAATAGAGAGGAAAGCTGAGTGAAAGAAGAAGGAAGGTTCTCCAGAGCCTTGCATGACTCCAAACCCAGGTATTTGAGTGTCTTCAGCTGCCCGAGATTCTCGGGCAGGTGAGTCAGCCGAGGAAGGGACTCGAGATCAATCTGGTGCAGTTTGGGAAGGGTAGCCATGGAGGAGGGGAGGGATGTCATGGCATGGCACTTGTCTAGCAGCAGCACCGCCAGCTCCCTCAGATCGCCCAAGTCTTCCGGAAGTGAGGAGAGGTCGGTGTTGACTATGTGAAGGTGCACCAGAGACGACAGACGCCCAAACCCAGCCTGTCCGATAGATTCGGGCACTTTAGGACGATCGTCCAAAGGCTCATGAGGTACGATTTCCCCTTCAGCTTCGGCTTTGGCTGGCGTTTGCTCGAGGGGTGCAGGGGTTGTAAGGTGCTTGAGGGATCGGAAGTCGTACAGGTTCAAGTGGCGAAGGCGGGTGAGGGAAAGAAAGGATTCTGGGAGGTAGTGAGCTGACCCGAAGACATTTGAGATTGTTACTGACTGTACAGAGTGCGGAAGGGTGATAGGTGCGGGTAGTGCGGGGGAAGCAGAGGAGGAGGAGGAGGAGGAGCAGGTGGGTGGAGAAACTGATTTGGTGCTAAGGTTGGCAAGTTTTGGACTGGTGCAGTGCTCGAGAGTGAAATGCTCCAGCCTGGGTAGCAGATGAAGACCTTCTGGGAGGTTTCTTAGAATCGGGCAGGAAGAAATTACGAGCTCCACAAGGAGTGGGAGTGGAGCAGGGATGGCAGAAGAGGAGGTGGCAGCAGGAGCAGAAGGCCTGCCTTCTGCTGGAGCAGCAGCAGCGGCGGCAGCAGAGGGCAAGAAAGACGGAAAAAACTTCAGCCGCTTGCAGTTCTCCACTTTCAGAACCTTGAGGCTGCACAGATTGCCCAAACCTCTAGGAAGCTCCTCCAGCATCGCACACCCATCTATGATCAGCTGCTCCAGGCGCGCGAAGGTGAAGGACTTGGGAAAGCGGCAGAGAGAGCAGAATCCTTCAAGCTGAAACTCTTCGCCTTTACTCTGATACCCCAGATGAGCGGACCACATGCCGGGTTCAGAATCAACCCCGATCCTTATATACTCGTCGGTTGTTTGAAGTTTTAAGATTTTTAGGCGCGGCAGCTCCCCGAAATTATCGGGCAAGCACGCGATTGCACAGTTTAGGAGCTCTAGTCTACACAGCTTCGGCAGCTTCTCGAAACCCGGAGGCAAGTGAGTGAGCGAAGAACCACCATAGATGATTTAAGTTTCCAGTGAGGAGAGGTTGGCGAACGAGGCAGGGATCATCATGTAAAGGTCGTAACATTAGTGAATGGTAAGCTCTTTCAGCTGCCCCAGCTGCCCGAACGAGTCTGGCAGGTGAGAAAGGCGTCTCGAAAACAGATTCACAGCAACCAAGTTGTGGAGCTGCCCAATGTCTCCGAGCAGGCTTGAACAATTGCAGCCGTCAAGAATGAGGCTTGTGAGGGCCTCCATGGCGGATACGGACTCAGGGAGGTTCGCAAGATTGCCGCACTCCACCACTTTCAACTCCTTCAACGCTGAAAGGAACCCCAGCGAATGAGGAAGAGCCGTAAGTTGATCAAGTCGCATCAGGAGCAGCTGTTGGAGAGAAGAAAACTGACCGGAATCTTCGGGCAGGGAGGATAGGTGTGGGCAGTTGCAGATGGTGAGATGCCGGAGGGCGGGAGATCCCAAGGGTTGGTCAGCTGGCAACTGACCGAGCGGTTCGGGAAGCTCGGTGAAAGCAGCCAGGCTGTCTAGATTCAGCGTATCCAGGGCGGGCAGCTGAAAAAGATCCTCTGGTAGACTGGTGAACCGGGGGCAGTGGTCTAGCGAAAGGTGAGAGAGCGCCGACAGTTGACAGATTGATTCCGGAAGAGCAGCGAGGTTTGGCAGATGCGAAAGGGAGAGAATCTTGATGTTACGAAGCTGGGCTAAATCGCTCGGGAGTCGATCTAAAGGGCAGTTGTGAAGGCCGAGGCGTTCCAGGGAGGTAAGACAGCCGATTAGAATAGGCAGCACGCGAAGAGACTGCGATACGATGTGTAACTGCTTCAGTCCCAACAGGCTGAACAGCTCCTCTGGTAACCCGGTAACGTTACTGAAGCTCGTGCTGAGGCGCGTGAGCTGCTGCAGACGGCTGATGGAAGCTGGGATCTCAAAAACACCTTCACCCAGCCGTAGATCCAGATTGACCAATCGCGTGCACGAATTAAAGATGTCAGCGACGTCCGATGGCGAGATCGGCGCTTCAAGGCTGGCCGGTTGCTCCGGACCGCGGTTACTGCCGGCCGGTTGCGTGGGCGTCACTGGCTGACGGTCGTACAGATGCACTGTGAGATGCGTCAACGACGAGCCGCATCCGGTGAAGATGGATCGCACGAGGCGAAGATCTACGACGCCCGTCGCGAATTCGCCGAGATGCAGGTGGCGAAGGTTCGGGAATCCCGAAGTGGGTGAGACAAGGATCGAGGCGAGAGTTCGTGCGGAGAAATAACGGTTTCGAGGCACGAGGATGGCGGGATGAACGGATATGGCGACGCGCAGCCATCGCTTGCAGATCAGAGCGTGGAGAAAGGCAGTGAGCGACGACGCCGCGGCGACAAGAGGGTCGGGTAACCCGAACAAGTCGTTCTCGCTCGGCAGGTGCTCGTTCAACGCGTTCTCGATGCTGCTTTGCAGAATATACTCATTATCGGGAAGACTATCATGGGTGTCGAATCTGGTGCCCTTAGATGCGACGAGGAGGAGAATGGCTCCTAGAAGGTCGTCAGAAATACTTGAAACGGGATCATCAAGGCTGCTTTGCAACAGTTCCGGCTGACCAGAGGCCATAGAATGTGGCTGCTGTGGGATTTCTCCTTGCGGTAGCTCAAGAGTCGCCATGGATTTGATGATTCTAGCAGATGTTTAACACGAGAGAGTAAAACAACAGCAAAACAGCAAACGCGTTATTCTGAAGTCATATCGCGGTGTAAAAACTCCTGAGTCTAAATCATGATATCCTGGGACACCATGATTGTCTAAGTGCGGAACCTCGCGACGCGACACATCTTTGCTTCAGTTGGTGACAACGAGCGCTGGGAGTTCTGAAAAGTCATTCCCAGCTTGGTGGTTTAGGGGGTGTCTAATTCATAGTACCGTATCGCACCGGATATAACCGCAGGCCTATTAAAAGCGCAGGCGCTTATATATGGAGCAATGCGCTTATGGCCGATCCTCTATTAGAAGCGCACCCCTTATAAAATCGTTACTTATTATAAGCGCACCCTTGCAGTAAAACAAAAAGTACTTGTTGAATATTTGTCATTATTGTTAGAGCTAAACGAAGGCTAGCCTTCATTAGTTGTAATTTTGCACTAGCTAAAAGTTTCACATACAATATGGTGACTATTATCCTAGCCTAAACACCATCAACTTGCCTAGTCTAGCCTTAGGCCTGTTCTTCCTCCACGTCATATTCAGGCTCCGTGGCGTTGTTGCCCCAGAACCCGTCTGCTTGGATGTCGTCGTCTACCTCTACCTCGTGGCTCAGCTGGCTTCTCCGGTGCGCCATCACCAGATGGTCTTCGCTCCCGTCAAGGGCATTGCTGATGCCGCACGTGAGGAAGGCTTTCTTAATCAGGTCGGCGGGCACGGCCTTCCACGCCCGTGAAATCCACTTGAGCACCACCGCCGGGGGTGGTTTCTTGATGTTCCCTGCACCACATGAAAGGGAGTGGGGAACACAGTAGTCCACAAGCAGGCAGACAAGCATACGAAGGGGAGACGGGAGGACATGTCGTCGCTGACCTGCAGGTGTCAGAATGTTCATGCCGTTCGCCTCAAACCAGGACGGGCACTGCTGGCGAATACTCACTTTGAAGCTCTTGTTCACCGACACATCGAGCGGCTGCACGTCTGCCGTGCATCCCGCCAGGATGACCGCCGGCACGATGTTGAGTGCCGCGAATCTCGCCTTGAATTCCTTGGTAAGGTGACCACGGTAGGAGTCGAGTACTAGCATGGCGCTCCGACTCTGCACGCCGAATTTCGGTTTCAGGAACGGCACCACACCCTCATCGAGCCATTGGATGACGCCCGTGGCCTCCATCCACCCG